TAACTGCTCTGTGCTTGGCCACTGCAGCCGTACCATGGGAGCTAATAATATCACTTATATTATAAGACTGTGTTAAATTAAATAATTTGAGCTGCATAAACATGCTCAACACCTATTAGTTACTGTGAAGAGACCAAAGTAGGCAGAAGAACCGGGAGGAATTGTACCGTGCAGGCCATTTCAGGAGTGGGCCTCAGGATCTTGGGCAAGGATGCAGCTGACAGCCCTGGACTTCCAGGAACCTGTGTCCTGACGCCAGCTCTGGTCCCATAGGCTGTGTGACCTCAGATGGGTCTTCCCTCCCCAAGTCTTGGTTTTTCTCCTCTTCAAAATAAGGACAGTAATTCCCTTCCCAGAACCACCCAATAGGATTATTGTGGGAGATCACACAAGATAATATATGTGAAGAAGCCTCCAAATGTGCTCAGGGCTGTATAAATACAAGGGATTACGGTTATCTGCGGGCGGTTTGTAGGGGCTTAATTATTAGCGTTCACAGGCACTGCAGCTGTGACGCAGCCCTGCAAATGTGCCCTTGGCAGCTCCTTAGCAGGAAGGGCCCCGGGCAGAAACTGAGGCTGGGTTGCCAGCATGCTTCTCGAGGGGATGGGCACAGGAGGGGCCGGCATTGGGCAGCACTGCCGCTGTAGCCCAGGCCTGCTCTCCAGGTGTGCCGAGGTGAGAGCGCAGGAGAGGAGGCTGACGCCCTTGGCTTCAGGCGTACCACCCTGTGGATGCTTCCAGAAGTGGGTCTTTCTTCTGGGTTCGATCCTGGCAAGCTCCTCCTCTGGCCAGAGGAGATGGAGCCAGGCCCCAGCTGAGGATGACTCGGCATTTGCTAGACCCAGCTGGGTGGTGGGGAAAGAGGCAGGCGCCCAGCCTCCCAGTGTCTGAAGACCCAGGAGCTGTGCAGTTTGGAAATGGAAGGAGGCCAGGAATTCTCTAGGAAGCCAGAGCAGGCGCAGCAGTGGTTCATTGCTTTATGCAGAAGGGCAGAGGAGCTGAGAGGACCTGGAGCCTGGCTTGAGGATGGCTGGCGACAGAAGACAGAAGACAGAGCTGTGGTGGAGGTGGAGATGGGGCCCGAGGGAGGGAGCGCTGAGGTGTGAGAAGGCGTTCTCCAGAAGCAACAGGAGAGGTGGCTCCCAAATGCTACCACCCTTTGCTTACTCACGATAGTCCTAGCTGGGAGCACATACCTGCAATCCCCACACTTGGGAGGCTGAGGCAAGAGGATTGCTGTGAATTCCAGGCTAGCCCTGGCTACACAGCAAGACCATATCTCAAAAACCAAATCTATACCCATCTTCTGTAAGCAACCCTGATGAAAATCACTGGATCCAAGAGGAGGAGGAGGAGGAGGAGGAGGAGGCACGAAAGCAGAAGAGGATCTGGTTGAGAAAAGAATGAGGATCACCAAAGGTGGAGGGGACAAGAAAGGGTGATGTGGGGGCTGTGAATGTGATCAGAATGTTAAGTACATGCATAAAAACATTATAATGAAACTCATCATTATGTATAATTAATACATGTTAATGAGAAAAAATTATTATTTACTTTTCTTTGTGGTTTTTCAAGACAGGGTTTCTCTGTGTAGTTTTGGTGCCTGTCCTGGATCTCGCTCTGTAGCCCAGGCTGGCCTCGAACTCACAGAGATCTACCTGGCTCTGCCTCCCGAGTGCTGGGACTAAAGGTGTGCGCCACCACCGCCCGGCTTTACGTTTAATTATTTTAAACTTAAACAATCTTCCCGGAGCACTGCAATGGTCAACTGGGGTGGAGACAACTCAATTTAGTAAACGTTCATTGATCATCTACTGTTGACGACCCGATAGACAAAGGTTCTCTTCCTCCAGAGGCTGGAGTTTAGAAGTGAAGCTGTCCCAGGAAGAACACATTGCAGACGCAAAGACAGAGGGTGGGGAGAGACCAAAGGCAGCATGGGTGGACAGCCCCAGGCCATGCAAGGGCGCCGCGGCTTGGCCCAACGAGAAGAGTCAGGCTGAGGTGATAGACCTCAAGTGTCCACCAGCACCACAGAAAAAGAACCAGCAAGTGGGGACCTCCGTCCCACATTCTCCACTCTCAGGCGGGGCTGAAGGCAGGGGAGGGTTACCTCAGCTGCAAGCCTGGGCAGCTATCAGAGACTCAGTGTGTCTGTCACTGACCACATGTGGGAGCAACTAGGTACGTGTGCCTGCCTGACGCCTCCTCACACCTTTATTAGCATCTGCGAGCTGACTGTGAGTCAACAACAATAGCCCTTCACATGGGCCCAGCACCTCTGTCCACCTAAGTTTCCTAACGACCTCTCCAGGGAGTAGAGCCCAGGTCTTCTCCTCCATTACCTCAGACATGGGTACCTGACATTGTTGTCCACACTGTGAAGTGCTGGGCAGAGACCGACTTGCTGAGGTAGCAGCCACTCCCGTTTTACAAGTGAGAGGGACCAAGTGGCCCGTGGGCGGCTAGACTGTAAACCACAGACCTAGAACCAGCACACGTTTCTTTTAGTTTTCTGATTCTTTGAGGCAGGATTTCACTATGTAGCCCTGGCTGGCCTGAAACTCACTGTGTAGACAAGGCTGGCCTCACACTCCCATTAATCCTCCTGCTTCTGGCCCCCTGGGTGCTGGGATTACAGGCGGCTGCTAGCCTGCCGGGCTTGCTTCAGCCTCCTCCTGTCATCTCTCTGCTGTGAGCTGTAAAGCTGCCCAAACAGTGACCTGCTTCTTCCAGCACAGCCCAGTGTTCCCAGCTCCCCTGGTACACTGTAGACCCGGCCCCTTCACACCCCAATCCCACACTCTGACTGCAGCCCAGCCTTGAAGGCAGGACTGAAATCCTGGCATATGTTGCCTGAGTGCTCCAGGCTCCTGCCCACACCAAGCCTTGGTGTTCCCATAAATTTTTTCCAGAGTGGGGACCCCTCCGGCCTCCATCTCAGAACCTGCTTGGTTAGAGCAGCCAGGATCAATGTACAGAAAACCCAGTAATAACCCCAGCACAGGGAGCCGGGCTGCTGTATAAAGACAGATTAAAACCTCATCGGGTTGGGATGAGGAAATAACTCAACTGCTCGGCCACCGTGGAAGAGCCCGAGGTTGCAGGTGCTAATGGCAGGACATGGGAGCGACACTGGGGATGGGAGTGCTCTGGCCTTGGGAGTCTGCACCCCTCTGTCTATCTTGGTTCCACCCTCGGAGCCACCTTCCTTTGTTGCCTGCCTGGAAGCCAGGGCTGACACATCCCGGTCCCCTAGGGAGCGGTGAGGGGGAGGCAGGCTGAGGGAAGCCAGTCCCCGCCTAGCGCCACACGCGGGTTCATTCACTCCTCAGCGGGACATTATTTTGCTCACTTGTTAGTCTGGGTCTCCTCACCTAGACTATAAGCCCCCAGGAAGCCAAGGACCTGTTCGTTTACGCCCCGCAGTGTATCTCCTACGTGCAAGAGGCTCAGCTTGCATGCTGAGGAAACAAATGCACGGATTAGAATCCTGCTTCTTTCAGATCAGCCGCTATGCCCTCGCTGGCCTCGATTCTCTGCGCTGTGAAGTGGGCTGGGCTGCCTGGAAGGGCGATCTCAGTCCAGCAAGGGGCTTGTATCTGGTTAAATTTAAACCGGGTGTGGTGTCATACTCCTGTAACGCAAGCACTGCGGTGGGTAGAGGCAAGAAGATCAGAAAAAGTTCAAGGTCATCCCACGCAATGTAGCAAGTTCGAGGCCAGCCTGGGCTACATGAGACCTTATCTCAGAGAGAGAGAGAGAGAGAGAGAGAGAGAGAGAGAGAGAGAGAGAGAGAGAGAGAGAGAGAGAGAGAGGGAGGGAGGGAGGGAGGGAGGGAGGGAGGGAGGGAGGGAGGGAGGGAGGGAGGGAGGGAGGGAGGGAGGAAAAAGAAAAGAAAAAAAGGATTCCGCTAAACTGATTTTTTTCAGAAAATAGAAATCGCGTCTGACTCCCGAGGCGCCATCAGGGGGCGCCCTTGTGCAAGGTGCTGGGCGCCAGGCGCCTTCTCTGGCTCCCGGGTGAGTTCGGCCGTGGCCACCCCCACTCCCCGCCTCCACCTTTGGGGGTTACCTCCCCTCTCCTCCGTCCGGTTCACACGCCCACCCCCACTCCAGCGCGTGTCCCCGCTCCAAGGACTGTCTCCGCAGCCCAGCCCAGCGCCCCTCCATCCCCCGCCCGGCCCAGACTCCTTCCACCCACGCAGCCCCATATGCTGGGAAGAGCCTCCCACTCCCCATCTGTCAAGCCGCTTCCTTACCCCCATTCCCCCGCTCCGCCGCCATCCCCTCCTCCGGGAAGCCCTTCCTGATTGACAGGACGGGGGGGGGGGGGGACCAACATTGCGGGACACTCGCCTCCAGCCCCACTGTCCTAAGCCGAAGGCTGTGTTGGGCGAAGGATGAGCTCAGCGTCTAGGTTTGGGGACAGATGCAGAAACTCCGTGAGCTTCAGATCATGGGAAAAACCTGGCAAGGTTCAGCAGCTAGCAGGGACCCCCCCTCTTTTTTTTTTGTCCCGCCCCAGAGGCCAGGAGAATGGGGCGCAGGCCCCACGCCCCGCAGGTGCGGGATCGTGGGAGGGACGGGGACTCAGGGCCCGGGGAACTGGGTGCGGAGGAACAGGGTCTGCTTTTCTCGCCTGAAGGACCTGGTTTCATTTCGCAGATTGATTATGGCTTCATGTGTGGATGTGTGTGCGCGCGCGCGCACGCGCGCGCTGGGCGTCGTTAGCTGTTTCTTAAATGTACCTTGCTTGTCTAATGAATGTTTGATTGCACCTACATCCGGAGGCTGTTTTAATGAAAAGTGAAGGCTCCTGGAGGGAAATAAATAAATAAAAGACCGTTCCCCATTCCCTCTGCACCTCCTTCTCCCACAACTCTCCGTCCCCAGCTGTCTTCTGAAGCCCGTGCCTCGCGGACGAATCCTGATCCTGTTTGAATGTTCTTGTGTAAAGGATGTTTCTCTCACGGGGAAATCAGCCGCCTCCATCGGTCAATCTCCGGGCTTTTATTAAGGGTGCAAAGGGGAGATGAATGGAGAGAGGGGGCTGAGGAGGAGGAGGGGAGCCCTTTCTCTCCCGCCAGCACGCTGGACTGCCGCTTTGTTCACTTGTTGACTTGTGGGTTCTGTGTCAGCCTTTGCCTACGGTCAAGCTCGAGTCGTCAGAATGTGATCAGCAACCCACAACTGCATTCTGACTAGGAATTTGCTGAACTCGAGAAAGCTTCAGTTTCTTTACCTGTAAAATGGAGCCCATCGTATTCATGTCGTGGATGGTTGGGTGACGGTGCATTATGCAAAGTGCCATTAAGTGCAAAGTAAGTGCTCAGCGAAAGCGGCTGTAAAGATCGACTATGCAGGGGACAAGGGTGACACACAGACCCCGACACTGGTGGAGGCAGTGTGAGCTTGCCTTGAGAGGTGGAATGTCTGAGGTTCATCAGTCCGCAGGCCATTACCAGGGCCTGTGTGCCAGGCTCTGCTCTGTGCTCTGGATTCAGCTGTGAGAGCAGAGATGGTCTCTGCGTTCAGTATGTAGCCTGCCAGCAGACCCTAATAGCTGAGACATAGCTACAGAGTAGGACCACTTCAGAGCACAGAGGAAGGTGCCCCACTCCACCCCTGGCTTCTCAGAAGAAGGCGATTTCATCAGGCAAAGATGAGGCGCATCTGGGCATTTCCTGCTACAGAATGTTGAATTTAAGAGAGTGAAGTCATGGCTATTGTGGAACTAAAAGGTCAGTCCCTGTGTGCTTAGAAAAACAGTTCTGGAGACGGTGTGGTGGTGTGTGTGTTTACTCCCAGCACTGGAAGGCAGAGGCAGGCAGATCTCTGAGTTTGAAGCTAGCCTGGTCTACAGAGCAAGCTCAAGAGCTGCCAGATCTTAACCTCCAAACCCCCAAGACAAGAAAGAAGAAAAATAGTCCTGGGTTCAAATCCTAAGTTTCCTACTTTCTGTCTTTGTGACCAGATCTAGTTATTTAGCTTTTCTGTGCCTTGCTTTCCTCTTCTGTTAAATGGGTATATTAATAATAAAAGGCTCATCACAACACTCTTTTCATTGGGGTTTTGTGGAGAATGAGAGGGCATTCACCAAGCGCTTAGCACAGGCTAGGCATGAGGTTAACATTCGATAACTGCTAAATAGTATTAATACTCATTGGTCCTGGAAGATCATGGGCGGGGGGAAGAGATCAGGAAGTACCTTATAAACAACCTAAGCACAGTAGTGAGCAGGGGAGCCATCAAGTCCTCAGCATCCCTGATGTCATCCCTGGTTCACTTTACACCCAACCTCGGGCTCCTCAGCAGCCATTGTCAGCGCTACTGTCATACCTCATCGCGCCCCTGACGGTTCCTTGCCACTTCCACAGTCAGCACCCTGGTCCCTGCTGTCACCATCTCTCTTCTGCCTGGCTGCGGTGGCCTCCTGGCTCGTCTCCCCAGCTGTCTGCTCTCCACACTGGAGGTAGAGGGATCCTGCTAAAATGTGAGGTAGATCGCATCACTGTTCTGTCCAGGGACCTTACCCGGGGTGGGCAAAGCCAACGTTTTCATGATGACCTGACTGGCAGACACTGAAGTGAGGCCCATTGCCGAATCTCACCCCGCCCTCTCTCTAAAATAAATTACAACTATTTATTTATTCAGTGAGCTCATGTGAACACACCATGGCGTGCATGTGGAGCTCAGAGAGCAACTTGTGGGAGATGGTTCTCTCCTTTGACCTTGCGCTTCCTGGGGGTCCATCTCAAGTTAGCAGGCTTGGTAGCAAGTGTCTGAAGCTGCTGATATGTTTCACTGGCTCCCTTTTTGGTTTTTGGTCTTATTCTGTAGCTCAGGCTGGCCTAGACTATGTAGCCTGAGCTAGCCTAGAACTAGATGGTCATCGCTCTGCCTCAGCCAAGCAAGTACTAGGATTACAGGTGGGTACCCTATGCCTCGCTCCCTCTTTTCTCGGTCCTCCAGGCTTGCGGGTCTCTGCATCCCTCCTTCAGAGTGAGTTTGCAAAGCTCTGTTCTTTCTCAGGATTGCTGCCTGGTCCAGCCGCAGGTGTCAGTGAGAGGATGCTCCCCTACCTCTTCAGGCGGAGGCTCAGTGAGGCCTTCCTTCCCTCCCCCATATAGCAAGCCTACCTCCTGCTCTCTGGTTTCCTCCTTTTTAGTAGCAGTGACCACCACGGAACACCGCAAATTTGCTGGATTACTTACCACTGGTCCCTCCCCACCTCATCAGAGCGCGCAAGCCTCGCGAAGACAATGGTTTTGTTTGTTTCATTGTTATACCCTTGTATCCAGGGCAGTGCCTGGCACACAGTAACCTCTCCATAGCCATGTGTTGAGTGAGTGGGCTGAATGAACATGTGCCAGAGAAACACAAGCGGTGCAGTGCACAGAATGGGTGGGGCCACGCCGAAGGCAGAGAGGGAGACCTTGACAAGCATCCAGGGCAGGGGCGTGCTCGACTCACATGGACCAAGGAGGTATTGCTGCTGGAGAGGGGTGAGCTGCCTGAGAAGTAATTCAGTCCGGTCTGCGTGGTTGGGAACCACTCGGCTGTGGAAGAAAGGATGAAGTGAAGGATGGTGGGCATGAGTGATGCTGGTTTCCGGCGTCTTGGTGGTTGGTGGTGCCAATTACTGAGCTGGAAGGAGGAATGGGCTGGGGTGACTGTTACCGATCTCAGCGTCTCTCAGCCTCTGTTACTTCGTCAGCAGAGTGGGGAGGTTGAGTCCTGCCACTGTCTGAGGTGATGATGAAGACAGAGAGGAAGATGAAAGAAACGGCAAGCCCTGTAGGAATTGCCTAGTTGGTTAGACAGGTGTTGATTTGGGGAGATCTGGCAGGTAGGTGAGATACTGACCTGCAGTAGACTGTAATAAGAGGCTGGCCCAGAAGGAAGGAAATGCCAGGGAAATTGCTTTGGTCCATACATGTAGGCGATAGGAGAGGGAGAGAACAGTATGATATGAAGTGTCATGGCTGTGTGGAGGCGGGACTTGGTTGATTCTGGAGTGAGAATTGGGTACCAGAGCGAAGGTTGAGGTTTAGCCCGAGGTTTTCATGCAGAGAGACCACAGGGTAGCTTGAATTTAGGTGTGGGCGGCAGCAGGATGGGGGTGGCATAGAGACACAGGGTGGATGATACTGACTGCCATAGACATCCTTCTCCGCCCCCGCCTATCACATAAGAGAGACGTGGTGATGCTGAGCACGGAGAAGATAGATCTGAGTAACCGGATGCGAAGCCTCAGAGCACAGCCACTGGGTGTCTTCCTCTCCATGTTACCCCCCAGTTGTGCTTATGTTGGGGGTCAGGTAGAGTGGGATAGCAGAAATTCTGATGTTTTTATTTACTGGATTATGTTTGTAGTTCTGGGAATCATGCGTGCTATGCCACTGAGCCGCACCCCAGGTTTCCCTTTGCAGCTTCTGAGGCCTCTGGAAAGTGCTGGGCAGTGTGGACTTGCAGGCTTGTACCCGCCCTCTGAGAGGTCAGGCTGTGGGGAGCAGAACCTTCCCTGGGCCCATTGCAAGCTGTGCCAGCACCCTTACTTTGCAGGGAGAGGCTTTCCAATGTCAATGTCCCTTGGTTTATAAGAGGTAGAACTGGGGCTTGAACCCACAGGGTTCGTGTCCAGAGCCCGGGTTTGTAACCACAGATTAATCTGACCAGGGTCGGAGAGTCTGATCCGAGTTTTACCTATCAGAGGATAGACATGTGGCTGTGGACACCTGGAGAGGTCACCAGAGAGAAGTGAGGTCCCTGAAAGTAAAATGGCCTTTAGAGGGAGCCAGCCGGTAGACACTGCCTCATTCATTTCTTCTTTCACTCATTCGTTTTATATTAATAATATAATTATATATACAAAATATCGATCTCCTGGGTTCCAGGCACAGGATGATAGAAACAGTTGAATACCTTTCATGTGCCAGACACTCCTAAGCTATAGGCTACTGTAGGAACTAAGCAGCTTGAACTCCTGCCCCAATGGAACTTATGTAACATACATAATATATATATTATGTATATATAATACAGAAGAGACAAAAGAAGCAAGACGTGTGTGTGTGTGTGTGTGTGTGTGTGTGTGTGTGTGTGTGTGTGATAAATAATAAATATCAAGAAGGAAAAACAGGGAGTGATATGAAGTTGAGATTCCAAGCAAGGTGATGGGGAAAGGCTTTCATGGCAGGAGATGAGAAGCACAGGCAAGAGTCATAGTATGCCAGGCCCTTCTGGTGGTGAACATGTATGTATTTATCAGCTATAGCTGTGCACATTGACAATCCAGGCATCCCGGAGGCTGAGGCCAGCCTGGGCTACACAAAGAAACCTTGTCTCAAAAAGCCAAAATGAGGCTAATGATGTAGCCACACAGTGAAACCTAGCACACACCAGGCCTCGGCTTGGGTCCCCATAAATGTGGTTTGGTGGCAAAGGCCTGCAGTCTCAGCCCCTGAGAAGGGGAGGCAGGAGAGTTATAGATTCAAGGTTATCCTTTACTACTTGTGAGTTCCAGGCTAGCCTGGGTTATATGAAACCCTGTCTCAAGGTGTGTATTTTATAAATACATATTCATAGTTGGGCATGGTGGATTGTGCCTGTTAGGGAGGTTGAGGCAAAAGCCACAAGTTTGAGTCCGACCTCAACTGCATAGTGAGTTCAGGACCAGCCAGGGGGAGACCCTGTCAAAAAATAAAAAAATATATATATATTTGTATCTATAAACATTCATACACATTGCCGAAGGCCGGTGGAGTGTTTTGTGTTGAGTGCTTGGCTTTGCTTTTGTGCATGGAATCTGTTTAAGTGTTCTTTGGGCTCAGTCCCCGTGCAAGAGGGACTGAAGTAGGAATGTACACTGCAAGGGTCTGAGGTCCAGGTCCAGCATCAGACTTGGTTGGCCCATGGGGCACAGGAGAGCTAGAGCATCCTTCAGGAGTGTCTGGAACTGGGTAGCTGGCTGCTCTTTCTGGTCAGTTGTGGATATGGAGACCTAGGTGGGTCCTCAGGCAGGTTCCTTTATTTAAAACCTCTAAACTGCCCGCTGGACAGTGGTGGCTCACACCTTTAATCCCAGCACTCAGGAGGCAGAGGCAGGCAGATCTCTGTGAGTTTGAGGCCAGCCAGGTCTACAGAGTGAGTTCCAGGACAGGCAGAGCTACACAGAGAACCCTTGTCTCGAAAAACCAAAACCAAACAAAAGAAACAAAACAAAAATTAAAAAAAAAAGATACAATCTCTTACCCCAAGCTGGAGGGTGGGGAGGAGCGCTGTGCCACGCTGTCCTTCTGAACATGACGGAGCTGTTCCATTCCTAAGTCCACATTGGTGTGGTCACCTGCATAAGGCCTGCACAGGGCCAAGCCAACATCAGGCAACTGCCCAGCAGAAATCACTAACTGGACTCAGTGGCTTAAAAAAAAAGTGGGTAGGGGATTTATTGGGGGTTGTCCCTGGGAAATTAGAGGTAGAGTTGGATAATCAAGATATACCGTATAAGTATATAAAATTGTCAAAGAATAAATAAAAAAATTGTAAGATTTTTTTTAAAGCTAGCTCCTTAATTATTTTATGTGTATGGGTATTTTGTCTATATTTGTCTCTAGCCCCATTTTTAGTTTAATTTAGTTTAGTTTAGTTTAGATTTTCGGGACAGAGTTTCTCTGTGTAGTTTTGGTGCCTGTCCTGGATCTCACTCTGTAGACCAGGCTGGCCTTGAACTCACAGAGATCCACCTGGCTCTGCCTCCTGAGTGCTGGGATTAAAGGCCTGTGACATTTAAATTATAAAAATAAATATTTCTTACCCTCCTTTTTTAAGGCAGGGCTAGGGCTGGAGAGATGGCTCAGTGGTTAAGAACTACTGCTCTTCCAGAGGACCTGAGTTCAGTTTCCAGCACCCACATCAGGCTGCTCACAATCACTTGTAATTCTAGTCCTAGGAGGTCAGACTCCCTCTTCTGGACTTGGAGTGCACCTGCACACATGTGGCACACACACACAAACACATGAGTACATACACACACGTACATACATACATATGCACAGGTACATTCACACACATTCACACACACAGGGACACAAACACACACACACACACACACACACACACACACACACACACACACACACGTAGATAAAAATAAGCTCACTATGGTACCACATACCCTTAATCTTATTACTTGGAAGACAGAGGCAGACAGGTCTCTGTGAGTTCCAGGCTATGTAGTGAGACCCTATCTCAAAATAAATAAATACATGATAGAAATAAATACTTTTAAAATAAGAATAAAGATCTGGGTGGTATATATATATATATATATATATATATATATATATATATATATATATATATTTGTCTTCTTTTTTTTTTTCAGAGCTGAGGACCCCAGGGCCTTGCGCTTGCTAGGCAAGCGCTCTACCATTGAGCTAAATCCCCAACCCCTGGGTGGTACATATTTTAATCCCAGCATTTGAGAGGCTGAGGCAGATGGATCTCTGTTAGTTCCAGACAAGCTTGGTATACAATAGTGAGTTCCAGGATAACAAAGGCTACACAGAGACCCTGCCTCAAGGAGGAGGAGGAGCAGGAGGAAGAGGTGGTGGTGGTGGAGGGGGGGGGGGGGGAGAGAGAGAGAGAGAGAGAGAGAGAGAGAGAGAGAGAGAGAGAGAGAAAAGGAAAGAAGTCTAGAGTACAAGAGTATCAGGATCTTGCCATGGAGCAGCCTAGGCTTATCTGGAACTTAGAATGTTCTCACCTCCGTCTCCTGAGTGCTGGACTTTCAGCCATGGACCACCATGCCTGACCTCTCTCTCTCTCTCTCTCTCTCTCTCTCTCTCTCTCTCTCTCTCTCTCTCTCTCTCAAGATTTATTTATTATGTATACAGTGTCCTTTTGGCCTGAAGAGGGCACCAGATTTCATTATGGATGGCTGTGAGCCAGCATGTGGTTGCTGGGAACTGAACTCAGGACCTCTGGAAGAGCAGCCAGTGCTCTTAACCTATGAGCCAACTCTCCAGCCCCGCCTGACATCTCTTACCCCACCTTAGATGAAGGAGGGAAGGAGGTGTGTTTGCACTGGCTAAGACTGTCTTCCAGGCTCTCAATCCAGCTCTCAACCCCAGCTCTGGGCCCACAGGAGGGGATCAGAACCTGCTCTACTCAAGAGAAGGGGCCCAAGAGCAAATCAGGAAGAGGATGGAGTGAGACATCTATCTCTTGCCTGGAGTGGACCTGTTCTTTAGGAAGGGACTTGAGAGATGGGGGCCAGAGGCTTCTTGGGGCAGCCTTGATGGGTTGTCAGAGTGCCTCTGGTTTCAGTTTCTACTCAGATGCATGACGCCTGGCCCCTGGCCTTGGGAGGCTTTGCTGGCTGGCCGGCCTGCCACGCCCACGACGGTGTCGCCTGCGTGACAAATGCCTTGGATGAGGTGGTTACGTGGGAAAGGGGGGCTCGCGGCCCTCGGGTCTATGCCCCCGGCGACCCCTTATCAATCTGCCCGAATCATGGTGCCAGGCTACACGGAACCACGCAAAATCTGCTTGCAGAGGCTGGCTGGCACTCTGCTTTTTTCTCTTTGCAGCTGTGACTATTGCTGTTTCCTTGTGTATTGATTTCAGGGAGTTAACTCTCAATGTTTCTGATGTGCCCCATAAAGAGAATAATGATTCCTCAAAAGTGGCTCAATACCCCCACCTATAATTCAAGCTTTTAGGCAAACAGTTAAAGAGGGTCCTAGAAGTTTGGGGGAATTTATGAATGACTTAGAACAAAAAGAATTTATGACTCAGAGGGACAAAGAGTCTAGCGAGGAGAGATGAAAGTAAAAGTCCAGGAACTCATAAGCAATCCACACGCGCAGCCAACAGCAGCTGCAAGGAAGCAGTTACAGGAACTAGCCAGTCCTACAAGAATTATCAAGGGACAAATAGAGTTTCTCATCAAGGGTCGGTGGTGGCAACCCCCTAACTTTAATCCTAGATATAATAATTATTTGGAGCCATTGCCCTTTACGGGAGCTTATGATAAACATGGGAACCAATGGGTGAATCATAATAGCATGAAAACAGAATGGCATAAGTTACAGTTCATGGAAAGAATAGCTAGGTCCCAACCCCCCTGGTGCCTTCTCACTTGCAAGCAAAGGTTAAATATTTTCACACAAATGAAACCATGGTTAGAACGATGGTGGGAAGGGTTTAATTTTGATACAAAACAAAGGTCTAATAACTACGTAGAAGGAAAAACTTCAGCTAGGGCCGTAATGTTCTCTGTCTGGATGAGGGACCACAAAAGAGGAAATAACACCTGTACTCATGAGATCTATTAATCATTCTGAGAAAATTGTGAGACCACATTGTTAATTCTATGTCTATCGCCCCACTGGCCGATTGCCATGTTTCCTCAAATGAATGTATAAAAAACACTGCTTGATCTGAGTAAAATTGCAGCAGTTCACAGCATACTCTGGTGTCTGTGTCTGTCTGTCATTCGCCGAATCCCACTTATCCTGAGTACCTTCAACCCGTTCTCCCTCGGTCTGGTGTTCCTACTGAGACCCAGTCCGCGGCACCGGCCCAGGAAGCTTTTTCTCTGTCTTACCAAATAGATGACCAAGCTGCTTGCCTCCTTAGTCACTTTTCTATTTTTATGATGAAACACCATGACCAAGCAACTTATTTTGTGGTTGTTGTTGTTTTGCTCTGTTTTGTTTAAAACAGGGTTTCTGTATGTAGTCCTGGCTATCCTGGAACTATCCAGACTAGGCTGGCTTCCAACCCAAAGATCTGCCTGCCTCTGCCTTCCAAGCACACAGGTTAAAGATGTGAGCCACTACTGCCTGACTGACCCAGGCAACTTACAAAAACAGCATTTAATTTGAAGTTTAGCATTTCTGAGGATTAGAGTCCATGATGGCAGAGCAAGGGTATGGGGTCAGAAAGAGCTGAGAGCTCACCTCTTGACCCTCAAGTAGGAGGCAGAGAGAAACAGACACTGGAAATTGCAGAAGTATTTTGAAACCTCAAAGCACACCCTAGTGACACATCTCCCCCAACAAGGCCACAGCACCTAATCTTTCTCAATAGTTCCACCAACTGAGGACCAAACATTCAAAATATTAGCCTGGGGGTGAGGGCATTCTCATCAAACCATCACATCCCACTCCCTGAACCTTCCCTCAGAGGCTCATGGCCATGTCATAATGCAAAATGCATTTAATCTAACTTCAGAAGTCCGCACAGTCTTTCAGTCTCAACCTAGTTTAAAAGTCCAAAGTCTCGGGGCTGGAGAGATGGCTCAGAGGTTAAGAGCAATGGCTGTTCTTCCAGAGGTCCTGAGTTCAATTCCCAGCAACCATATGGTGGCTCACAACCATCTGTAATGAGATCTGGTGCCCTCTTCTGGGCTGCAGGGATACATGCAGACAGAACACTGTATACATAATAAATAAAATCTTTAAAAAAAAAAAAAAAAAAAAAAGTCCAAAGTCTCTTCTGAGACTCAAGGCAATTTCTTATTTAACCCCCCCCCCCATAAAATCAAAAAGCAAATTCCGTACTTCCAACATACAATGGTGCAGAATATACATTACTGTTCCAGAAGGGCTGGAAGGGAGCATAATGAGGAAATACTGGCCCACAGCAAGATCCAAACTCAGCAGGCCAAACTCCAGATCTTGTAGCTCCATGTCTGGTGGACGCTAAAGAGCTTAGATGGCTCTGCCCTTCTGGATTTGCTGACTACCACACACTTCCCTCTCTAGGGCTCCTTCCACTCCCTGTGTGTAGCTTCCCTTGGCAGCGATCCCATGACTCTGACATCTTCCATATCTTGGGCTCTCCAACGAAATCTAGGCTTCATTTTCACGGCTTCTCAGGACCTCCATGCAGGGACTCCCTTGCCCCATGCCTGGCCTCACCAGTGCTCCTTAGCCACGGGAGAAGACTCCATAACCTCTTTACCCGTGTACCCTTCACATCTCTGAAGCCAGAACCACCCAGCAGATGATGCCCAGTTCAGCTGCCTGCTTGGGCCGGAGCCCACCCCACCCCCCCCAAAGCCCTTGAATCTCATTTACAGCAGCTCTTCTTTGCTGTTGCTCTTCAGGAGCAAAGGACAAAATTCCTCAGGCCTTCCCTTTTTACAAGTTGGAGGCTTAGTTGGGTGGGGTCTCACCCTGAGACCTTCGATTCTGTTTCAGAATACATCTTATCTCTTTAATCTTTCACATCTTTTAGCACAAGCCTTGACTCCCACATTAAACCTCCTGATGCTCTTTTTTGCAGAGGAGGGAACGAAGTCCTTCATTTTGTATTTCTTTTAGCCCTGCTTGTTCTTTTTCATTGTATCCCTGCATGAGAGTGACTACTAATAACCACATGACAGAGTCAACATTAGGCTGTCTTGAAATCTCCTCTGCCAAGAACATTAATCTAATACCTTTCAATTTAGCCTCAGGCAGATTCCTAGGACAAGAGCAGAAATCTAGAATGCCAAAATATCGTTAGGAATGGTCTCTAGCCCAGCTGTTAATATTATTCCCACGCTGAAACCTCTTGAGCTGGGCCTCCGTAGTCCACATTGCTCTCAGCACTATTGTCTTTCAAGCTTGCACTAGAGTGGCCTACTAAGCCCCCATCAAGGCATTCAACGTTCCTAGTCCAAAATTCCCCAAACCTACTATATCCTCCAAAATCCAGCATGGTCAGGCCTGTCTCCCTGGTACCAACTTTTCAGTCTTAGTTACTCCCTGAGTCTGGTCAAAGTCCAGCCTCTTTTGGGGAGCAAAACATAGAGAGGGGGGATTCCAAAAAATGACCCGTAGAGGCCTTTGCAAGGCCTCAGGCTACTGGCTGGGGGGGGGGTGGTGGTGCTCAACTGAGGATAACCATATCAACCCTGCAATTTCCAGCCAGTTTGAACCTTGGCTGCCCCTCCTACCTGGAAGGTGTCGGCAGTGAAGCGGGGGAATTGCTCTATCAAGTGTGACCTGGGGTTGGGGATGAATAGCAGAGATGGTAGGATCAGCTAGAATAACATGTCACACGGTGGGCTGCGTGCAGGAATGCTGGATTGGGTGACTGGCAAATTGAAAGGCTCCTTCATCCTATAATGGTTAAAGAAAAAGGGAATTATCTCATGCCTTTCTTTTCGTCTATCAAGGTGTCAGCATATGCTAATTACCTGGCAGAGGCTTCAACGGGAAGAGGAAAGAACAACTATTATATTTCAGAGGAAAGATTTATCTTGTGTTGTTGGCGCCAGTTGGAGGAGGAGGTGGGGTGGTAGGGGGGGGTCAGAGAGGCAGAGTGAGAGCTGTGGCTTGACTTGAATGGAGTCAGAGATGACTTTGAGCTGAGCTTTCTCGCCTATGATTAGGAGGGGCTTTTGCACTGCATCGTGGGTCAGGGAAGGATGCAGCATGGGCAGAGACCTGAGCGCCCAATGCTTGTGGGCAGGGCTCAGGTGGTACAGCAGACCTGGAGGTTTGCAGGGGCTCCTCCACCCCTCCACTGGTTGCACTAAAGGGCTAGCTATATGAGGTGGGGATAAGGGGTACAGGCTAAGGACCAGGGAGCTCTACTTTGGCATCCTGGCTCCACTTCTGGCTGTGATCTGTGTCACATGACACTATCATCCAGATCCTCAGTTTCCTGGCATGGGAAGGTGTGTAATATCTCCTCTCTGTGATGCCTGTCAGAGCTGAGTGGGATCCTGTAAATGAAAGGCAGGGCAGCTTAACCAACAATAGCACCCATGATCAGAGTTGCTTGACACAGATTTTTTTTTTCAGCACCTACTGGAGTCCAGCATGCAGAAGGGAACAGGGCACTGAGCTCTGCCTGCAAGGGGATCACCACAAATGGACGCCAGACATGTTCTTTGCTCCCACACCCTCAGGGTCCCAGAACATGGACAAAGGGGACACAGAAACAGGCAAAGGCCCTTAAGCCTCACACAGACCATGTTTGGACCTGTTATGATGATAATGACAGTGACCTTGAACTGACTGTTTGATGTGCATGAACTCAAAGTGGAGCTTGTCTAGGGAAGCGATGGGGGCCAAAGGGTCATGGCAGGAAGGGACTTGGACGAGCCAAGCTACTGTTGCTGATGGTGAGCGGGGGACTGGCTTTGAGAGGGGCCAAGATTTGGAGGCCAACACTGATTGATTTCACATCTGGGGGGGGTGTCTTTTCCTCAGGGGTAATGAAGCCTTGGGATCTGATGAGATGGCTTCCATATACTGACCTGGCTGCCTATGTTGAATCCCAGCTGTCTCACGCTCTTTTCTCCAGGACCAGCTGGGTGGGGAGTGAGGGAGCTGGAGAGAGAGGCAGGCTGGTCTGGGAGCAAGCGTACATATAGACTGTGATGGCAGAGATCTGAGTTCAAATCTTACCCTTCAGGAACACAGTAGAGTCTACTGAGTCGGCTGGAGGTGATTTCTAAGCTATGGCCATCTTTTTCCAGCTGGATTTCATTCTATCCCGCCCCGTGGCCTGAAGTAGAACTAACTACTACGAGGATGGCTGGGAGCGGAAGGGAACAGGGTGCTACCAGGTGGGCTGTGTGACAAGCAGAGGCTTTGAGCAGGTAATGGCTGTCAGAGACCAGCAAATCGCAGGTGTCTTGAGAACAACAAGAGTTACCCTCAGACACCAAAGAACAAACACGCAGCACAGGATGCTTTGCCGAAGCCGAGCTGTTTTGATCGTTCCCGGATGTGACACGCGTCACATGAGAAAGGCGAGCCTCTTGCACAGAAACTCCCTAATTGATAGCTGGTGGTTCCAGGAAGAGCGGGTCTGAGTTTGAAGGGGCTGGGTCCAGAGCAGCCCCCTCACACTGCCCATCTCCCCCTTGGCCCCTGGGCAAGCCTTCATCAACCCAGGCACTCAGAGTGGCACGGGGGTATGGGGTGAGGGAGGCTCACTACTCCAGATGCCCTGAGGTCCAGCCTCAGTCTCCACCTTTCCAGGCCCTTTCTTTCTGCCTCATTCCTGGAACCCGGGCTGTGTGCCAATCTAATTGAGCTTCTTGACTCGGCCAAATGCGCCAGGCTCTGTCTGGCCTTCAGGCCTTTGCTGTCTTCTCTGCCTTGGGTCCCTCTCCTGTTCTCCCTCCCATCCACCTGGCCAGCAATGGCAACTTCGACTTAATAACAAATATCATAGCAGCTTATCTTTATTGAGCGCTTACTCTGGGCTAAGTGCTGCCCAAATGTTTTCCCGTATCTAAGTCTTACGACTTATAAGGAAAAAACAGTGACAGTTGACACATCATACATTCTACTGTTGACCAGGAACTGTTCTAAGAACATCATGTGAATTAACTCAGTCCTTACAGCCCCATGACGGGAAAGTTGGCATCATTATTCTGATTTCACATGTAAGGAAACCGAGTCACGAAGAGGCCAAGCAGCTTGTCCAAAGTCACCAGCTCAAAGGAGCAGAGTTCACACTGCAGTTTGACCCAGAGTTGAAGTTTGACATGGCCATCTCATCGGCCTCTACTACCACCTCCCTCTACAGCTGTGGATGAGGGCCTCTACCGACGTCTTGTGGAGATCATTCGTGTATCCTCTGGGCCTGAAATGCCTGACATCGGGGACAGGCTAGCCCAGCATTTCAGTTTCAAATCCTAGCCCAGCACCTGGCATGCAGCCGGGCTCATCTGTACAGACAGCCAGTCTGAATCCTGCAGGAGTAGTCTTCCTCTGGGTTTCCCCGTTCAATCACAGGACTACAAAACGAAAAAAAAAAGATGCAATTGCATAAAATCTAGGTTCTCATTTTTGCATATATCTGAGTTTTGTTGTTATTTTGAGACAAGATCTCACTATGTATCCCTGGCTGGCCTGAAGCTCTATCTTCCAAGTTATGGGATTAGAGTCATATATCACCATACACGGCTTGGGCTTTTTTTTAATTTTTTTTGGTGGGTTTTTGCTGTTGTTGTCTTTTTGATGCACCCGTCTGAATTGATAAAGAACGTGCAGATGGTAAAACTTTTGCAGAATGAGATCAATCCTATAGCAAAATGAGGACGCGCCAGGGTGCAGGCAGCCACTTCCTGGCACTCCTGCCCCCTTTTGAGATACGGGACTGGGTGCAGAACAGGAGCCCTGCAGCAACTCTCCATTATGGCAGATCTGAACTTAGGGTTCTTGTGAGAACATTCAGAGGGGTGTCACCATATTTATTCTCTGCCCAACCTTGGCCACACGTTCAAAGGGTTAAATTTCTGTCAGAGGACCTGGGAGCCAGAGGAGACGGAAGAGTGTGGTGGGCTCTGGTCTCCTTCCAAACACGGTTTCTGTGCTTAAACCACCACACTTTCGCTTCTTGAGCAAGCTCCTTTCTGGTTTGCTTTGTTTTGTGTTCTTGAGACAGAGTCTTGCTATGTAACCTTGGCTGGCCCAGAACTCCCTACATAACCCTAACTTGCAGCAATCCTCCTGCCTCTGCCTTCAGATTGCTGGGATCACAAACGTGAGCCACCGTGCTTCAGCTTAATTAAACTCTTCCCCCAGAGTTGATTTCCCCCCTGCCAAACTCGGAGTTGTGGGCTAATGCCAAAAGAATGGGGAGCTCCAGCCGGAAGTGAGGGCCTGGCCCAGAAAGGGCCACTGTGCTCTCTCTACCGCTCTGGAAGAGGTGGTCTCCGGCTGGCCCATCCCCTGTGGTTCTAACGAGCAGGCAGGAGCCTCAGCCTGCAGCTCACCCTGTGAGCCAGTGACAGCTGGGGGTGAGGTTCTGACAGCCTTCACGGCCGCCGCCGCACCGCTGCCCCGCCCCCCAGGTGCACAGCCTGCCCGCTCAGGCTGGGAGGTGTGAGTGCCTTCCTTTCCTCACCAATAAAATGTAGATAATGATAATACCTTCCTCCCAGGCCTGCAGTGAAGATCAGATGAGAGGACGTGGGGAAAAGCGACTTACATGCTATAAAAGACTCTGACAAATGCTCATTATTTCTTCCTATTCTTCTCCTGGAATTTATCAAACACTTTATGAGCCCTGGAGGTGTTTTTTTTTCTTTTTCTTTTTCATCCCTTCTATCTTGCATGGATTTCTCTGGGCCACAATTCTCCTGTCCTTTCCTGCTGTACCATAGAGAAGCAGGGGTAGTGCAGTGGTTAGGGAGCCACAGGCTGGCATGAGTTTGAATCCTGGCTCGATATCTTTCTAGGCCCGATGCAGGACTAGGAACACAACCTCTGTGAGCTCTGTTAGCTTTCCCCTGTATAAAATGGGTATAAAAATTGAGCTTAAGCATAGAGTTGATAGGAGGACTGAGATGATTTGTGTAAAACTCAGTACTGTGCCTGCAACAAGTTCAGGCAACGCCTGCTGTACTGTGCTGTCAGGTACTCTCTCCGGCGGGCATGGCTACCCTCTTTGAGTGGTAGGACCAGTGAAAATAGACCTTGGACACGATTTTCACAGACTTCCTTGTCTTCACGGGCAGAAAGGGGTATATTCATTCATGCAGCAAATCCTTTCTGAGTATCTTCTTGGTGCTGGGTACTCCTGGGGCAATAGGAAGTCTAGCTTGTAGTCCCTTGCACTAGGGGATCCCACATTGCAGTGGGGCAAATATTCATTCATTCATTCATTCATTTATTCAGTGCTCAATTCTCATCCATTTGCAGGGTCTATAAAGCTCTGTGCTGGCCTTTGAAATAGAAATCTGGGGGTGGGGCAGGGAAGGAAAGAAGCAAGATCTGGTTAAGGTCCCTTGAAGCCTCGGCTCTCCAGGACATGTCTTCCTACTTCCTGTCGCTTGGCCTCAGTCTCCCCGTTTGTATGCTAAGGGGTCACTCAAGCTGATCCCCAGTCTCCTGGCCCACACCAACATTCCAGGTTTCTGAGCCAGGACGGACAAATGACGAGTGACACCCCGTCTCTGCTCCCGGCCCACACGCTCACTTGGGTCTTGGGCATCGATCGGCTAGGAGCTCATTAGTGGCCGCACAGCCGTCGCCGCATGTCACAGGCTCTTAAAGTCTCCATTACTGAGGGACCTCACTCCTCTGTATTTTTAGCCTGCATCTGGAGGAGATGGCTGGCATCTCCTGCAGTTATACACATTAGGTTCAGTGCTTTCGACAGCTTCTCAGGCCTCTGGGCACCTGGATGGAGGTGGGGGCCCCAGATCTGCTCCTGGAAAAAAAAATAGTGGGAGGTAGGGAGTCAGGGGTCCTTTCCTCTCCCATAAAACCCCAGCCTACCCCTATAGGACCACCTTCCATATAGGACAGAGTCGAGATGACTGCCACACTTCCAGGACACTGACAGCTCCTTGGATACACAAGAACGAGGGCAGGTGATGCCCACTTAGGAATAAAACCCAGGCCAGTAGGATGTCCCCAAGGATCAGCCACCATCTCTAGTTACAGACAGGTAAAGCGAAGCTTGCTGAAGCCACCCAGCATGCCGTCATGTCTCACAGTCAGATCAGGGTTCTGTCTGCCTGTGGGGGACTGAGCCGGCCTGAGTAGCTACCCGGCCCCGAGAGCTCTGGGCCCTCTTTCATTATGTAAGGACTGCATTTCCCAGACCCCAGAGGGCAGGAAAGGATGCTTTGCAGGCAATGACTCAGAGAGTAGTGGGACTTGTGAGAAACAGAGCATCACTTGCTTGGGAAGCTAGGGAGGTTAGGAGGGACCATGAGGAGGAGATCCCTCCTTCAGTAGAGGAGGGGCCAGTCCCCAGCCTGAGATAGGAACAGAGCTGTGACCATGTCGAGCCTGGACTTCAGGAAGAACACAGACTCTGACTCTGTCAGACACTAGATACATCCCTCCGACGCGCGCGCGCATTCACACACACACACACACACACACACACACACACACACACACACACTAGCCATGAAATCAACTCACTGGCAAAATAAGATGACAAGATAACAGTATCGGATTTTTCTGCCCCAACCCCAGTGTACCAGATACGTGCCTTGTGTTTCCTTGCCAGAGTAGTGATCTTCCTGTGAAGGTGGGAGCTCTGGTGGCCATTCTTGTCTTACAGATGAAGGAAGTGGAGCTCAGAGAGACCAAGCAAGTCACCCATGCTCACACAGCTGAAAAGCACCAGAGTTTCTATCCAGAGGGCCAGCGAATCCTTTGCTGTACCAAAGCCAAGGAAATAAATAAAGTGAGTTACCCAGCAGTGGCTTTTTTTTTTTTTTGCTGATGATAAAGTGAGAAGACCGGGCTGGAGAGATGGCTCAGAGGTTAAGAGCACTGGCTCTTCTTCCAGAGGTCCCGAGTTCAATTCTCAGCACCCACATGCAGGCAGAACACTGTGTACCCAATAAAAAACTAAATCTTTTTTTTTTTAAAAAAAGTGAGAAGACCATAACATTGTGAGGTGTTTTTTTTTTTTTTTAAGATTTTTTTTTATTATTATGTATACAGCATGTATGACAGCAGGCCAGAAGAGGGCACCAGATCTCATTACAGAGGGTTGTGAGCCACCATGTGGTTGCTGGGAATTGAACTCAGGACCTCTGGAAGAGCAGTCAGTGCTCTTAACCTCTGAGCCATCTCTCCAGCCTGGGTGTGGAATTTCTGCATGAGGCAAATTATCTACTTCCCTCTGGGCTTCAATCAGGGGCCGGGTTGAAATGGGGAGGAGCTAGCCTGGCATGGTGATGCACGCCTTTAATCCCAGCACTCACCAGGCAGAAGCAGGAGGATCTTTATGTTCGAGGCCAGCCTGGTCTACAGAAGTGAGTTCTAGGACAGCCAGAGCTACACAGAGAAACCCTGTCTCAAAAAAGAAATGGGGAGGGACGAGTCTCACACTACACACTCGCTCTGAGCTCCCCTCGACTGACAAGATGATGAATGATAATAACAGAAAACAAACATAGCTGGAACATTTTCCCAGAGCCAGGAGTATTGCCCGTGGTGCTTCGTTTAATCCTCATCCCACCTCTGTGAGCTCTATCCTTAAATGAATATGGAAACGGAGCTCAGAACGGCCGAGCAATCTGCCTAAAGGTGCACAGCGAATAGGGAGTGAAGGTGGGATTTGAAATGCAGTATGCCTGCCTTTGGGGTGTCGGTCAGTCCTAGAGGCCTGTTTGGAGAAGTGGGAACTTGGGAGGCCCTTAGTCAGACAGGGGCAGAGGAGGGGCTCCATGCTTCCAGGAAACACTTAGCATTTTCCCGTGATGCTAACAACTTCCTGATATTCAGGTTCAGGGAACTGCTTGCCTCTCCTGGTGCCCTTTCACTCCCTCCATCATAGTTCTCCCTCCTCACTCCTCCTCCCCCCTCCCCCCAGTGCCCTAGAGCTTCAGCACAAAGTGCCCCCCAAAGGAGGAGGGGAAGAGTCTGCTATACCTTTGTGCATCTGGAGGGGCCAAGAGCAGCAATGGGGATCACCGAGCACAGGCACCTGGGAACTTCTGAGCCCCGGCATCATCTCTGTAATCACCAGATAGATACTGTGCCTATATGGCGTCAGATGCCATCAAGGGCACAGTTGCCAAACACTGTCGTGTTCTGTTGAAACCCTCCGGGGCACCATCCGTCCATAGATGCACACAGTCCCATGGCCGAGCTGGGGATGTTGTGGCAAGCAAGGCAGAAGTGACTTCTAAACCCAGACCAGAATGACAAATGGGAATGGCCTGCTTATGGGCGGGGAAGGGGGACAGAAGGAAAGTGTAACCAACACACAATATGATACGATTCTAACATTAACACAAGCAAAGGGGCTAGAGAGACGGCTCAGTGATTAAGAGCATCGTCTGCTCTTCCAGAGGACCTGGATTCAGTTCCAGTTCCCTGAGATCTGACACCCTTTTCTGACCTCCATGGGCACCAGGCTTGCATGTGGCACATAGACATGCATGGGAGCAAAACACCATACACATCAATAAATCTAAACAAACAAAACAAAAAACCTGAACAAGAGCACTCGGAGCCTTTGGTCTTTCACTCCATCAACCCATTTCTCTGAAGCAGACGGAGAGTACTTATTCCTGGAACTTTCACTGGAGGGTGACCCATGAACTGGGCCTTTCCGGGGAGAGAAGAGGGAGAGGACCATGCAAGAGAAAAGCCCATGAGCAAAGGGTGTGGCTAGAGATTTGATGGGACGCTAGCCCTGGCCTCGATCTTTGCCTCTCTAGCTAACCTTGATATTTTATATTTTTTGAGCATGTCTCATCTGTTAATAAGGATTCAGATAGGAGTGTAGAGATCAATGGATGGCTGAGGACCCTTTGAGGTACTCTCTGGAGCAAATGCTGGGTTTGGGCAGTTCCTTACTTCTTCAGACAGTTCGTTTCTCACACATGTGCTTTCCTGGTGATGCCTTCTCCAAAGATGTGAGGGCTCCCCTCCAGAGCCCAGGTGGCTGCAGTCAGTCTATGTTGTCCTGGATGATTGTGACAGGAGGTACCTACGGGCCCACAGGCTCCACTTTCAGCAGCAATATGTGACATATTGGGCGTGTGGCTTCTCCTTGGTTTGAGGAACAGGGCCTCTGGCCTCCCCAGAGCAGAGCCCTAGCCCTGAGATCGTCTGTGTGATCACTGAACAAGAAGCCTGAAGTTTGCCTTGTGGGTTGATTGGATTAGCATTTTGGAAGAGTCCCCTTCTAGTGAAGTATATTAACGATTCATTCCAGCTGGTCTTTCACCCAGGGCGGGCTCTTTGTAAAGTGCCTCAGATTTCCTAGGGATCCTCAGAGACACTTTGACATTCTGATTGTCACTGCCAACGTGGGCTGCGAAGAAATTAATTGACATGGATGAAACCCTCAATTTCCAAGGGCTGTGTAATAAAATAAAGGTTATTGTATTATTGCGGATTCCACTACTAATGAAAAAGGGCTAAAGACCATAATCACAATATGGCATGTTTAGTGGGGCTTTGATTTCCACAGGCAACTATCCTGAACTATAGAGACTAAGAAGAGTGATAGTAATTATTTATTGAAAAGTTACATATGCCGGGCACTTTACCAGCGATCTATGCGTTATCTCTTCCCACAAATAAACCAGTGAGGGAGGTGCTGTCCATCTCTGAGGCCCGAAGAAATGGAATGAACGTGGCAGGAAAGTGTAGGCTAGAGCAGATACCCTTGTGGATAAAGCACTCTGCTCTTAGATGTGGGGGAATATTGAAAGATCTGGGCAGGCAGGGGTAGCCAATTAGCCAAGTACAGGGCATTCTAGGGGGCAAAGTATTAGGCGAGTTTGTGTGTATTTTCTAGACTTGAGAAAACATCTTCATCTTTCCCCCTCAGACCCCAAGAGTTTCATTCATCTGTCTCCTCATCCATCCACACAAAAGAGGCCATCCATTTATCATCTACCCATGTACCCATCCATTTATCTATCTATAAATCTACTTGTCCATTGACCTGTCATCCACCCATCTATTAATGCACCCATTCATTTAGTTATGCATTCATGTATTCATTTACTTAGTCAAATCAACAGTGTCTCTGATTAATTCCCAGCACCTGTCATGGAGGTGAGTGTCCACTGTGGTCTGGATGTCTGCCACTTAGCAGGTGGGAGAGAAGCAACAGAGGAAAAAAGCTTGGAGGAACAGTGTCAGCCCCGCAATTTGTAGAATTTCTCCAACTTTCTCATCTCTAGTCTCCCTACATGGATAATGTGGATAACATTTGTATGACATTGTGAATTAAAAGGCAACAAATTTAGAAAATGTTTTCCAAGCCGGGTGGGGGTGTCGCATGCCTTTAATCCCAGCACTCAGGAGCCAGAGGCAGGCGGATCTCTGTGAGTTCTAGGCCAGCCTGGTCTACAATGAAAGTTACAGGAGAGCCAAGGCTATTCAGATAAACCTTGTCTTGGAAAAAAAGAGCTTTGCATATGTTTATGTATCATCATCATCACTAATATCACTATCACCACCATCACCGTCATCACCACCACCACCACCACCACCACCATCACCACCACCACCATTATCACCATCATCACCACCACCACCACTACCACCATCATCACCACCATCACCACCACCACCATCACCATCACCACCACCACCATCACCATCACCACTACCACCATCATCACCATCATCACCACCACCACCACCACCATCACCACCATCACCACCACCACCACCACCACCACCATCACCACCACCACCACCACCATCACCATCACCACCACCACTACCACCATCACCACCATCATCACCACCACCACCACCACCATCATCACCACCATCACCACCACCACCACCACCACCACCACCATCACCATCACCATCACCACCACCACCATCACCACCACCATCATCACCATCATCACCACCATCATCACCACCACCACCATCACCATCACCACCACCACCATCACCACCACCATCATCACCATCATCACCACCATCATCACCACCACCACCATCATCATCACCACCACCACCACCACCATCATCACCACCATCACCATCACCACCACCATCATCACCATCATCACCACCACCACCATCACCATCATCACTATCATCACCACCACCACAACTATCACCATCATTGTCATTATCATCATTACTAATGCAGGATATTCTGGAAACTGAAATATCCCTAAGTTTGAGAAATCACATCTACCACAGAAATCCTGAATAGGTTCAAATATGGAACTTGATGAAATGAAATTCGAAACTTCAAATCATGAGATTCCTCAATTTTACAACAGTCACATCTATTTCCTATGCTCTTGGTGCTACGGTGTTGGGCAGTAGAACTGGAAAATGACTTGGTAAAAGGACTACTCCATCATGATATACCAGGTCTGCCATTTCCAGGTGAGTGGATAGAACTCTCCATGTGTCAACGTGATTGTTCAAGGGCTAGTCCCTGTTGGTTGCAAGGACAGATCGGGAGATAGAGTATGGAAATACGTTTCTGGAAACTCGGGAAAAGACAAACAATGCAGTTCCAGAATGAGCAGGAGCCACAGGAAGTGTAGGCTGCGAAGATACTGTGTCTGTCAGCTCAGGTGAGTTTATGCTGTGGTAGCAAAAAGTCCCCTAGCCTCAGATCTCTTTGACAAGGTTACATCTCCTTTGTGTGTCTCTCTTGGGTCAGCAGCAGCTCTGTTCCAAATTTTCTTCACTTTGAAACCCAGGCCAAAGAAGAACACATTGGTTCTTTATAATTTTTATTATTTTTAATTTTTATTTATTTTGTGTGCGTGAGTGTGTGTGTGTGTGTGTGTGTGTGTGTGTGTGTGTGTGTGTGTGTGTCGGGGGGTGCACACATGCCACAGCATGCATATGGAAGTCAGAAAACAATTTCCAGGAGTTAGTTTTCTTTTTCCACCATGTGGATGCTGGGATCAAATTCAGATAGTCAAGGTGGGTACCAGGCACCTTTACCTGCTGGTCTGTCTCACCAACCCTGGCTAGTCTAGAACTTGAAGCAATCCCCCAGTCTCAGCCTCCTGAGAGATGGGATTGTAGTGCCCAATTATAGGCCAATCTTGAATTCATGATCTCCTGCCTCATCCTCTTTACAATTTTCATATTGGTATTATCTTATCGGAGTATCTACCAGGGCTAGCCACAATGTTTTTGTTTGTTGTTTGTTTGTTCTGAGAGAGGCCCTCACTGTGCAGCCCTGGTTAGCCTGGAACTTGCTATGTAGACCAGGCTGGCTTTGAACTCACAGAGATCCATCGTCCTGTCTCCAGAGTGCTGAGAGTAAACATATATGCCACCACAGCGGGTCCCCAGTGATTCTTAAAGCTTCACCTCACATTTTATGGGCCAAAGCTAAACACACGGCCAAGTCTGACACCATGGGAGCAATATTCCACCCACGTTTAGAGAGGACACCGAAGGAGGGACAGTGGATGTTTTGAATAGTGATCCAATCTCCCTTAGACTGTAACTGCATGAGATGTCGTTTGGAACCTCAGGATGGCTTGGAGGAAGGACCTTTGCAGGCAGAGGCTGCAGTTCAGGTCACGCAGCTTTCCTGTGGGTTTGCTTCCTCCCCATTGACACCCACTGGCTCTGGGTACGTTTCTATCTGAGGAGTCTGCTTTTCTGTTTGCTGTTTCCTCAGCTTGCCATTTCCTCACGACTCTGCTTTCCTCCTTATGGTATCTTTGCCCTTTTTCTCTTTGTCCATTTTGCATGTGTATGTATATGTGGTGTGCTTAGTATGTATGTGCATGTCTGCTTGTGTGTGTGTGTGTGTGTGTGTTTATGCCTGTGCATGCATATGTGTGTGTGTGTTCCTGAGGTTAATGTCAAGTGTCTTCCTCAATTGCTCTCTATGCAGTATATTGAGGGAAGATCTCTCTTCAAATTTTTTTTATTTTATTTTATGAATATGTGTGTGTGGACATGCATGTATGTATGTATACCATGTGTGTGATGCGCTTGGAAGCCAGAAGGTGTTGGATGTGACAGTCGTGAGCCATTTGATGTGGGTGCTGGGACCCAAATTCAGTCTTCTGCAAGAGCAGTAAGTACACTAGCTGCTGGGCCATCTCTCCAGACCTGCGGCAGGGTTTCTAACCCCCCCTCCCCAGAGCTTGCTCCTTCAGTTAGGCTGGCTGGCTAGCTTGGCCCAGGGATTCCTTATTGCCATGTCTCCTGTTGGGATTACGGTTGTCTGCCATGCCCCCTGGCTTTATGGGTGGATCCAAATTCCAGTCCTCGTGGTTGCCAGGCAAGCGTTTTTACCACTGTGCCCTTTCTCCAGCCCCTCTCTTTTCTTATAACTGTTTACCTGATGGCCTATGCTGTGAATTCAACAGAACTCTCTAGTTCAGGTACTAGAAGTCCAAACCAAACCTATGTAAAGAAAGACGGTACGTCCATTATATTTCTCACTGCTGTGACCAAGCACCCGGTGGGGAGCAACTTAATGGAGGGAGGGGCTTATTTGGCTCATGGTTTGAAAGGACAGCTCGTCACATCAGGCAAGCGGATCTTGACTGTGTCGGCAGCACCATGAGGCTACTTGCTCACAACTGGGTGGATCAGAAAACAGACAGGACAGAAAGTCGGGTTGGCCATAAAACCTCAAGGTCTATCCCCGTGACCCACTTCCTCCCGGGAGGCTCTACCCCTTGAAGATCCCACACCCTCTCCAAAAACATCACCAGCTTGAGGCAAGCATTGAGACACTTTTCGGTAACATCTCACATTCAAACCAGAACAGAAAAGCTCTGGCCCACATGTGAAAAGTCACGGGTAGAGCCGTAGGTCAGCGCGGTCCACCCTGTGAATCCCAGTGATTCTCTGTCGTCTCGTCCCTCTTCCCACAGTGTGAATGTCTATGTTGGACATACTCTATCATCGCCTGATGGCCTGATTCCCAGTAGCCATCTCCCTCTTCTTCCATGGGGGCCAAATATTTCGGTTGGTAATATGGCCCTTCCCTGCAGCTAGGGATGGTTCAGACGTAGGTCCTGGCTAATGGATGTGAGTAAAGGTGATGTGCACACTTTGTACTCCCCTTTCCCACTGCCTCTCTCTGGCTGCAGTGTGGCTGTGTGGACAAGGTGAGCTCATCCACAAAGCAGAAGGCACCCGAGCTCCTCAACCTTGTGTGGGACAGAGCTACCACAAACACTTGGGAGAAAAAAAATTAACTTTTGTCTTGCCTAAAGTACTGCTGTGTGGGTCTTTGCTACAGCAGGCCCAACTAGAAAGAATCTCAATTAATTTAGTCTCCTTCACAAGCCCAGCATGGCAGTCCAGGGCTAAAATCTGCCAACTGAGTCCAGTGTAGTGGTGCAGGCCTAAAATCCCAGGTCAGGAGGCTAAGGTGAGATTGTAGGTTCACAGCCAGCCTGGTCTACAATAAAGATTGTATCTTAAAAAAAAAAAACCCAAAAAACAAAAAAACAAAAAACCCAACAATAACAACAACAAACAAACAAACAAACAAAAAGCCAACAACAAAAATCAACTGACTGTCTGGCCTTGGATTGGGCCCCTGTGTCAGAATCTAGCACCTGAAAAGGGTGAAGGAACTATTCCTATAGAATACTGGGGTGCCATCACCAGGAAAAAGGGGGCTTGCCCTCATGGCAGCAAAGCCCATTTAAGGGCCTCATTCCCTTTGTGTATTGCCTAATGAGATTCCCTGAAGAGGAGATCTAACTTCTGAGTGTCCCAACTTGGCTTTTTCCTCTCACTAGGCACCCGAGGAGGCCTCTGGTCTTGTGCATCATCTGCTAGGTGCCTGGGAACGAGGGAGGTAGTGTCTGTGATGGACACATCCTGTGTGGTTCGAGTGTCTTCAGAGCCGTGTGAGCCCCAGCTGCCGTGAGTGGGTTTTGTGAGGTCTAGAGGGAACTAAGGAAGCAGCTAGTGTTTTCGTCCATTTGGGTTGCTACAACAAAACACCGTAACCCAGGAGGCTTATAAACAACAAAGTTGATTCTTCGAAATTTTGCAAACTGGGAAGAGCAAGATCAAGATGTTGATAAATTCAGTGTCTCCATAATATTCCTTTTGTCAGGGTCTGTTTTCATGGTTCTTGAATATATCTTCTCACTGTCCTCACATGGAAGAAGTGCTAAGAAGCTCTCTGGAGTCTCTTTTAAGGGGCACCCATCCCATTCAAGCCGGCTGAACCCCTGTGATCTAATTGCCCCAAAGATCCCACCTCTAGACACCACCGCATAGATTTTTGTTGTTGTTGTTGTTGGCTTGTTTTGTTTTTGAGATAAGGTCTCTGGTAGCCCAGACTGGCATGGAACTCCCTCTGTGGGAGAATTCCCCTGAGTTTCTGATCCATCCCCGTCTCCACCACCCAGGTTTAATGCAGTGCTAAGGATTGAACCTGGAGCTTTGCACATGCTAGACAAGCCCTCTGCCAACAGAGCTAGTTTCTTAGCCCTTGATTTTCAATATATGAATTTTGGAGGTGTTCTTGGTCAGGATTTGAACAACCTAGAGTCACCTGAGAAGAGAGCCTAATTGAGGAATTATTTAGATTTGGCTGTCCTGCAGTCACGTCTGTGGGAGGACTGTCTAGTTAACTGGCACAGAAGGATCTAGCCCATTGGGAAACACCATTCCATGGACAGGAGGTACTGAACTACGTAAGCCCGGAGAAAGCTGGATGAGGACGGCAGACAGGCGGCAGGGGTGCATTCCTTTCTCTCTGCTCTTGACGGCCCATGTGATGTGACAGCTGTGGAAATCCCTGACTTGACTTCCCCGAAATGATGGACGGTAACTTGAGACTGTAAGTCCAATAAACCCTTCCTCCTCGGTGTTGCTTTAGGTCAGGGCATTTGTCAGAGCAACGTATGAACAGCAACAGGAGGCGAACGAACGTTTAGACAATAGCAACTGGGGAATGGCTGAGGGCAAAGAGGGTCTGGCTGGTGGCATCTGTATCTGTGCCCTCTGCCTGCATCCTCAGTCTGTCTCTGCCAGCGATCATCTCTGCAAAATGACACAAGGATCCTAGTTGGGTCATCTTTTCTGTGCCAAAGGCAAGACAAGTCCTTTAAATTTACTGCAAACACTCATTGGGGATGGGCTAGAGTGTTTGTTAGCGGCAAACGCCAGTAAGTGTTGATAAATAAAGCCATTAAAAATGTGTTATGGCTCTGACACTTGGCGTAACATCTTCCCTCCTGCTTTTCCCCATGTAACATTTACTTTAAATGGCCCCAGCCAAAAGCCAAGCACCAATAAAACTGGCCCACGTCTCCCAGAACATCTTCACTTGTGAAACACTAGAAGGTTCTGCACTCAGGCGGGGGGGGCGGGGGGCGGGGCGGGGGGGGGGGGGGGGGGAGGAGAACCACCGGAGGCCCCACCCAGAGGCCTCACTGTTGTGTAAACTGCACATGTTGCACTTCCTGTGGTTGACGCCGAACTGTACATCACATTTGCAATTTTGAAGCTTCAATTGCTTAAAAATATTGTAACTGCTCCTCAAACAGGAAAATTGCATTTAGATTTCCCTCTGTGTTTAACCTTAGACTAGCAAGAGATGGTCTTCACATTTTCCCAGCAAATGAAATCATTTTTGGATTGAGATTGCTTAGGGATGGTTCCTATCATAAGGAAAAGAAAACCTGGGAACAAACACAGCCATATATTCTGCGCAGGCCTGTAATGCGGACAGTAAATGATCGCTTTTGGCCTATACTCCTTGGCATGAAGGGCCGAGACAAGGAAAGACAGTCTTGAATATGAGGTTCAGTCACATCTGAACTGTTGCTGAGGGAATTACAGGCTCCTGCACTCAATTTTCCTAGGGCCAGCCTTCTGCAAAATTGGCATTCCTTTGGCACGTTTCATATCAAAAATTCCTTCTTCCTGTAGAGGCTCAAAGGCTTTCAAACCACATCTTTCCCCTCAATCAAGCTTATAACTCATTCGCCCTAAAGTATGATTGCTTACCTCTTAAAGGGAACCAATAGAAATTGGGAAATAGTTTACTCGAAGGGAATAAGTGACATTGGAGAGATCCTACACAGTAAGAGTCTATTAGGTGACTGTTAAATGGAAGTCTTTTTCTGTCTACGCATAAGTCTGGTGACTGTTTTGTTTGGGTCTCAAGTAGCCCAGGCTGACCTCAAACTCAATATGTAGCCAGGGATGACCTCCAACTTCTGATCCTCCTGCTTCCACCTCCCAAGTGCTGAGATAACAGGCTTGCACCACCCGTTCGGGCTTATGTGCCACTCTGGATCAAACCCAGGGCCTCCTGCCTACTAGGCAAACACTCTACCAATAGAGTTACAGTGCTACCCAGCCCATGAGACTAGTCTTAACTCTGGCAAGTCTGTCTTTTCTCCTTTCCCTTCCTTATATCCTGTCAGCAAACATCACTGAGGAGCTCTGCTTAGAACAAGAGCTTCCTGTCACAGAGAGGACAACGCAGCCCAAGAAGCAGCCGTCACAAACATGTAGCTGTTGTGGGGATGTACTGTAGGAGTGCCCACTGCATGCCAGGGGCAGCCTGCCATGGACAGCATTTTCTTCTCAGCACCCCAGCCAGGTAGGCAGCACAGTTTCAAAGACAGAGGTAGCAATTTTTTCTCTTCCAGGTCACACATAGGAAGGCACGGTGCAGGGCTATCAGCACGGGCAGTTTGATTCCAGAGCCTTCTGTTCCAAGTGAGATTAGATTAAAATAAGCATATAGGGCAGGCTTTGAGGAGACTGTCTTTAATGTGCTCTGCACTACCAGAGAAGCTGTGATGAGGGGCAGGAAAGAGGGCCAGCCTCTTGCTGAGCAAGAGGAGCCTCGGGTGAGGGCAGCTGCAGTGGGTCACCCCGCTCTTGCCCCCTTCCTCCTCAAAACCCCCCTCCCCTTACCAGCAGACACCAGAAGCCAGCAGGCTGGCTGCGCCCCAGGCAGGCTCTGGTCAGGAAGAGGGAAGCTTTTGTGAGCTGCAGGCCTGGTCTCTGTTAATGCCAATTAGCGTTTCTGCCTGCTTGGAGCTGCAGGGCCAGCAGGCTTCTGTGATCCTGGTGGCTAGGGGTTCTGGCCTAGAAACGCTCCCTATGTGGGACGAAAGTCAGAGAGTCTGAGGGGAGGGACTTCGTCATTGAAAGGAGAGGAAATGGGGTTTCACAGACGCTCCACGGGGCCCTGCAGCCTCAAGAGCACAGCTCCCTGGGGCCAGAAGAAGAGAGAGAGAGAGAGAGAGAGAAAAAAAAAACCCAGCTGGCCTGCCTCCAGCTGCCCTAGCTGGCCTCTCTATGAACCAGGGTCTGGCTCCTGAGAGAGAAGGTGGAAAGAGGTTTCCCATGCTCCTAAATTTGTTGGAGACCTTGGGACAAAGCTCGTCTGGGACTTGAGCTATCTAAGCTTGTGATGCTTCCCAGTCCTCAGGATCTGTGGTCGTCTGTTTGCATCAGTGCGAATAACGACAACGCACAACAGCTCGAGTGCTTAGGAAGTGCTGGGCCACGCTACCCTCTCCCTGTTAAAATAGGCTGCCGCTGGGCTGCCAGGAGGGCATGACCGAAGGACCCCAGGTTTCTGAGGCCCTGGCTTTGGCCCCATGTCAGCTTCCCTGTCCTTTCCTGACGGCCTGTCCCCTAAGCTGCTCTCCTGTAGCTTCTACCCGCTTCCTGTGGCCCTGACACCTGTCCCGTTTGCTCCCTCCCTTGTGGTCTCTTCTCGCCCTTTGCTCACCACAGAGGCTGCCTGGCTGGCAAGGCCTCCAGCAGAGTCATTCTTCTTTCTCCCATTCCCAGGCCTCCTTGAGCCGGACCACATCGCCCTCCGCCTTCTGTGGGAGGACTGTCCCTTGTGTCACGGGCAAAGCAAGCAGACACAGAGAGCCAGGATCTGGTCCCTGTCTGTCCCTTCCCTCTCTGCTGGCTTCGGCTCTAGGTAGTTAATAAGTTGCCCTTTTTTTATTTTATTTTATTTTTATTTTGGTGAGTCACCCAGGTGTTCCAAGGGCATAGTTTCCCAAAACCTTGTCACTGCAGCTTCAAGGAAAACACTTGACCTTGCCAGCACCAAGCTTGTCCTACCCTGATCCCTAGGGGTGGTTCCCCTCTCTGCTCCTCTTCTCTAGGTGTGTGTGTGTGTGTGTGTGTGTGTGTGTGTGTGTGTGTGTGTGTGTGTAAGCCAGAGGACAACCTTGAATGCCATCTTAAAGAATGCCATCCACCCACTGAGATGGAGTCTCTCGTTATCCTGGAGCTCACTGAGTAAGCTAGGCTGGCCAGCTAACGAAGTCTGTTTTTACCTCCCCAGTGGTGCTGGGATTACACGTGTGTGCCACTGGATTTGTACATGGATGCTGAGGATCGGACGTGGGTCTTGAGACTTGAGAAGCTAGTGTGTCATGAACAGAGGCATTCCCCAACCCCCTTCTCTCCCGGTCTTGAGATATGCTCTTACTGCGTAGCCCAGGCTGCCTTTGAACTGTCGATATTCCCGCCTCTGCCTCCTAAGTTCTGGAATTAGAACCGTACCCCATACTCATACCCAGCTCTAGCAAAGTCTTCCCAAGAAGCACATGTAGAGGCAGAGACAAGGAGGTGGTATCCACGGCTGGAAATCATCGGGCTTGGTCCATTTCCCGATCCAGACCCTTTTCTCTTTCTTGCGCACCTCACTTTCTTCTTGGGAGTTTCTGAAAACTCCCAAGGCTTTCTAACTGAGGAAACAGACAATTTCAAGGTTAGAGAGGACCCGAAGAGTGACAGAGGGCTCACACTGGCTTCTTGTGTCCCAGTCATCGCCTCCTCTGACACTTCAGGACAATACCTCAACCTAGAGCACAAATGACTGGTTTTTTCCCCTTTTTTGGGGGGGGGGGAGGGGAGACAGAGTCTCACTATGTAGCTCTAGCTGTCCTGGAACTCACTATGTAGCGCAGGCAGGCTGGCCTCAGACTCACAGAAATTCGCCTACCTCTTCCTCCTCGGTGCTGAGATTAAGGGTGTGCGCCACCACACTCGACTCAAATGACGATTTCCAACAAAAAAGTTTGCTCCCTCCCCGGAGTCTGAGGTGGGTAAGCAACTGTCACTTCATGCTGTGTTGGCCACCTGCTGGCCAGCCAATGAAGTCCAAAGTCCGTAAGTCTGGTTATTGTTTTGTTTTGTTTTGGAGACAGGGTCTCATGTAGCCCAGGCTGACTTCAAACTCAATCAATATGTAGCCAGGGATGACCTCCAACTTCTGATCCTCCTGCTTCCACCTCCCAAGTGCTGAGATAACAGGCTTGCACCACCCCTTCCGGCATATGTACCCCTCTCTGGATCAAACCCAGGGCCTCCTGCCTACTAGGCAAACACTCTACCAATAGAGTTACAGTGCTACCCAGCCCACGAGACTAGTCTTGACTATGGCAAGTCTGCCTTTTCTCCCTTCCCTTCCTTATGTCCTGTCAGCAAACATCACTGAGGAGCAGACTTCGCTCAGGGAGACTTGGGGCACTGCTGTGCTTTGTGGCAAGAGCTGAGAAAGGGCCTTAGGCTGCCGCACACTGGGTGGCTCATCAGCAGAAGAGGTTTTTCTGCTTGGGTTGAGATTGGATATCCTGGGCTCTGGTTGTACTTCAGCCAGAAATATGAACGCAATTGGAGCCGGAGAATTCAGACTGTCATGTACAGCTCCTGTGTGTCGAATAGAGTCACTGAAGTCTTTGTGGACAGTGCTACAATGATTGCTGCTGAGGAAATGGAAGCTCAGAGGGGTTAAGGATGTGACCACGAAAACACAGCAAGAAAGGAGCTGAGGGTTGAGTGGAAATCTGTCTGGCTCTGGAGCCCCGAGATTGTACAATACTTCCTGGATACGACTCTTAGGACCACTTTCCACCCCCCCACACCCCGAATATCTCCATTGCTTCAGCTGAACAGAATCACTGCTGGGGTTCTGAAAGCACGGAGTTAGCGTCCTTGAAGACCATCTTAAGGGACCTTACGATGTGGGAGCATCAAGATTGGGAAGGATCTATGGAGTTTTCTTCCCATCCATTAGCCATTTTTTTTTTTTTTTTTTTTTTGTCATTGGAAGCTGGCAGAGGATGCTTTACCAACAAAGGTATCACAAAAGCTTTTTGCCAGCCTATCACCTATCACTCCCTGGGAAAGGGCAAAGAACAACAGTCTAAAGGCCCAGGGGCCAGCCAGGTCATGGGACCAATCGTTGGGCTTAAGCCTACCCTTCTAGAAGGTGCTTGAGTTCTGCACTGGTCCCCACAGCCTGAGGCACACGGGAAGGTGGGTGGTATTCACCGATTCCTTGGGGCATCCCCTGACTGCTCCAGCCAGCAAGAGCTCCAGCCTCCTGCCCTCATGGCTTACACCATTGAGCTGGACTCTGACGATCTATTGTCATGCATTAGTCTTATTTTCCCAGTTAGCTCATCAGCCTCTTGAGGGCAGGAGACCCTCTCCCACTGGACTTGGTGAAGGGGTGTGCTTTCTTGGAACTCAGCCAATACTGGCTGGCTACTTGGAACCCTCTAGACCATGTTCAAGGACTGGCATGCACATGTGTATAGGTTTACTTGTGTACATGTGTCTATATGATATATGTCTGATATATACATAGGGTATATATGACCCATACATACATACATACATAGGTGCATGTGACCATATGCATCAAAATGGCTCACATGCTTGTGCCATGTTCCTACATAATGTGATTCACCAGATATTAAGGACAAATTGAGTATGAAATAGACTGTCCAACCCCAGAGCTAGGAAAGAGACCATTAGAGGAGCAGTAACAACATGTGGCAACGTGTATCTGTAATCCCATCCCTACGGAACTAGAATAAAGAGGATCGTGAATCTAAGGCTAGCCTGGGCTACATATGGAAACCCTATCTGAAAATTAACAGCCTTCAGCAAGTTGAAGCAGATGAAGTACCACGATTGGAAAGTACATGGCAGAGTCACAGCTTAGTCAGTCTAGGGAGAGGGATCAGGGAAGGTTAACAAAGAAAGGGAAAATTGGCCAAGACTTGAAGTCTGTTGGGAATTGAACTGCCCCCCCCCCCCCCGAACCCTAGGATGTGTTCATCTGACTCCTAACACATGTGAACATGACCTTGTGTAGAAATTGGGCCTTTGCAAATATCATCAACTTAAGATGAAGCCATGCTGAACAAGGGGACATCCTAATCCAACAACCAGTGTGCTTCTGGAAGGACATCTGGTCACAGACAGAGTGACAAGAATGTCACATGACCAGAGAAGCAAGACTGAGGTGATAGTCCAGTCTCCAGAAACTCCTGAAGGTCGTGGGCCTCAGGTGACTGTTGTTGGTGGTTTTTACTCTTTTGGGGGGCCCGCTACCTGGCTCCCAAATAGATCACTCACAGAGGCTTATTCTTACAAATGCCCGGCCTTAGCTTGGCTTGTTTCTTGTCAGCTTTTCTGAAATTATCCCATCTACCTTTTGCCTCTGGGCTTTTTCCTTTTCTTACTTCTGTATACCTTACTTTCACTCTTACTCCATGACTGGCCATGTGGCTGGGTGGCTGGCCCCTAGCATCCTCCTCTCCTTGTTCTCTTGTTCTTCGTTTCCTCCTAGATTTTTCCTCTCTCTGCCTGCCAGCCCTGCCTATCCCTTCTCCTGCCTTGCTATTGGCCATTCAGTTCTTTATTAGACCATCAGGTGTTTTAGACAGGCACAGTACCACAGCTTCACAGAGTTAAACAAATGCAACATAAACAAAAGTAACACACCTTAAAATAATATTCTACAACAGGTGACTGTTCCCTGCCTACCCCTGTGAACTTAGACAAGAGTTAGAACTTTCTTGAGACTCAGGCATAGAACAGACCTTTTCTTCAAAGCCCTCAGGAAGGAACTTACCCTGATGACATGACCTCAGAGTTCTGGCCTCCAGAACTGTAAGTGAATAAATTCCCATTGCCTTTAAACCACCTGATTGTGGGAATATGTTATGGCAGCCCTGGAAAATGAAGCCAGAGGTGTCCTAGGAATCCACTGGGTGGGGAAAAAGAGGAAAGAATGATTCTGTCACAACGAACCAGCTGCACTGGGGCCTGGAGGAGTGAGAGCGCACTGCAGAGGGTAACAGAAAGCTCAGTAGATCAGGAAAGTTCCCTGGGAGGTGGGCAAGGGGGATTACACATTAGAGCCGGCATATTTATGTGTATGCTTTACAGGGCTGTGTGATTACATGAATGTGTGCCCATGCATGTACTTCCTGGAATTCCACTCTGCTTTTATGATTTCTGGTTTAGTATGCTCCTGCGTGGTTGGTGTGTGCCTTGACCTGGATGTGTGACTTGTATGCTAGGGCATTAATGTGGACAGTCTACAAGTCTGTGCGTTGAATTCAAAGCAGCCATAGGGAGACTGGAGCAGGGACAACCCTGTTTCTGTTTGCATTCTTGGTGCACACTGTAAATACGCCTGGCCAGAGTATGTGATGACAGGCAGAAGGCAGGGGCTGGGGCTTACCTGTCCTGGTTCAAGAAGATGAGACAGGCCAGGAGGCCTGTGAGGAACAGAGGTGTTCTGTTCTTGGACTGGAAAGATGGCCCAACAGTTAAATGCATGCAGAGGATCTCTTGCAAAGGCCAGGGTTCAGTTCCCATATGTGCTTGCAACAGCCTTCAACTCCAGTTCTGGAGGATTGAATGCCTTCTTGCCTCCTTGGACTCCTGCAGGTATGTGGTGCACATATATTCATGCAGCTTCACACATATACACACAAATTTAAAACAAAACCAGAAAAAAAAAAGTGCTTAGTTCTTGAGATTGACAGCTCTAGGTGGCCGTAAGTATGGTTATGGTCCCTTTTGTACCTTGGTCCAGCCTCACTGGCACAGCTCCTGAGGAGTCCTCAAAACTCAGTTTACAGAGGGGCAGGAGAGATGGCTCAGTGGTTAAAAGCACATACTGCTCTTGCAGAGGATCTGAGTTTTGTTCCTATCATCCATGTCAGGCCCCTCCTAGTTGCCTGTAGCTCCAGCTTCAGGGTTATATGACACCCTTTCCTGGGCTTTGGGGGCACTTGTGCACAAGTGTGTGCGCTACAAGTAATTAAAAAAATAAAATGATCTGTAAGAATAACTGAATTTATAAAAGCACACTGTGGTTTGTTTGGTCAAATCCCCACCTGCCTGGGAATCTCTTCGAGGAGCCCCACTCTTTGGAGAAAGGTTACAGCTGAGGGCAGGACCCAGGGGAAGGACCACCCAATCCCAGCTCCTGCAGAAGGTTGCATGTGTGTATGCTTTTTTTCTGGGGACATCCCAACCAGCAATTTCTATGAAATGTAAGAACCACTTCTGTGCTCCAGGCTGACATTGAGAGCTTGAGTGTGTGCATGTTGTGTGCAGGTGTGTGCAAGCATGCGGAACTTCCAACCTGCTTCCTCTTCGAGAATATGGTTAGATCAGGATGTCAAGTGCAGCCCCAGGCCCTGCCAGCTGCTGCCGTGGTCAGATTGCAGGGGGCTGTCCTTGATGGAGCCGGTAGAACAGACAGAGCCTGTGGTAAGGACAGGAAGAGAGGCGAGGCGGAGGCTGCTGCTTTGAGGGGAGGGGCGGCTCCCCTGGCTTGGCGCTCTCTGAGATCAGCCTTTGACAGACACTTAGACTGAGATTGTTTCAGGCAGGAGCAAGTCTTAAATTTGGAGCTGGGATGGACAGGTAGGATGAGGATGAGAGGTGAGTGCATGCAACACCGTGAGGAAAGAGCTAGGACTTTTCAGCACCTTGGCCAGTACCCTCGGGTTCTGGGGGCGCCAAAGCTGTCCACCAGTTTCCAGATGCCTGGTCTGGGGCAGGCCTCTGGGTGCAGTGGAGATGCTGAGGGAAAGGGAAAGGCACACCTAAAACTTACCCGGGGGCTTTATTGGGGTTATAGAAGCTCTTGAGAAGCTGGATGTGGAAGAGGGTCCCTCACAAGTAAATAGAGGTAAGCCCCCCAAGAACGAGGAAAGAGGACCTTCTGGGGCTCAGATATGGGAAGGAAGAAAAGCAGCTTGCAGGTGGGGGGTCATCTATGCTGGGATTGTATTTCTTTGTCCTCTGTGTCAGGCACGGGGCCAAGCATTCTGGGCTTTAGCGCGTTCCACCCCTGGATAACCGAACTCTATTGTTCCTTTGGGAAGCGGTCCAGGAGCAGGGGCACTCCTGTAGCTATTCCTTGAGGCTTCTCCCATGTCCTTTCTTGCCGCTGCCTGACACGCTCCTGTGCCTGCCTGCTGCTGCCACAGCCCTGCCCTTTGCAGCCCTGTTACAGCCAGCAAGACTTCACTGCCGCCACTGCAGGGATGCTCCTCGGCCTCCCAGACCCCATGGCTGTCTTCCTTCCAAAGAACTTTTTAAGAGCAATTAATCAACCTTATCACATCCTTTCTATGGAGTCCTGCACAGGGAGGGATACAGGAATAAAAAACATCCTGCTCCTAGAAGCCAGTCATGTGGATATGTGGGTACCCAGGCAGCTGGTTGACAAATTCTTCCCTGGGGACTGCCACCTCTTCCAGCTTTGGAAGTGACTGCAGTATGTGTCAGACCCGGGAGGAAAAGTGGGGACACTCTGCTTGCTCTCAGCCTTGCCTCATTTTCTTACTCCCTTCCCATTCACTCCCTTCAGTTACTTCAAGTTTGTTCTCCCAATCCTTTCCTAGGCAACTTCTTGGGTCAAGGGTTGTGTGCAAAGGATTTGGGGATGAACAGCCATGAGTGTAGAGAAGGACAACCTCCATGAGTGACAGTCTTTCCCTTGCACATGGGGCCCACCATTTTGCAGCAGCCAAGGACATGGACAAATAATGTGTCTGAATGCAAATGGGTCCAGTCCATCCAGCAGCACACAGTCCTTTGGACAATCTAGCCTAGGCTCTGATGTTTTGGTTTTCAGAGAGTAGCACATCAAATAATGGGGCCCTGGGTGAGAGGAATCCTAGGGCCATCTTAGCTGGTCCTGATGCCAGTACATGGAGCCCCATCACCACTCTGTTCTAGGATCCATGCTGGGTCTGGGGATGTCCCTAGTGGGTAATATGGTAGCTAAGGAGAAGCGGAGCCTAGACTAGACCTAGAGAAAGAAGACTGGGGCAAAATGAGACATTAACTATGCACCAGCTGGTGACAGTTCCTACCCTACATACCCTCCACAAATGAACTCATATTGCCCATAAGCTCTTTTTTTTTTTTAATAAACACTTTTATTTAATGTGTGTGTGTGTGTGTGTGTGTGTGTGTGTGTGTGTGTGTGTGTGTGTGCCATGTGTGCTGTTGCTCATGGAAACCAGAAGAGAGCGTTGGAGTTCCAGGCAGTTGTGAGCCACCTGCTGAGGGTGTGGGAACTGACTCAGGTGCCCTGAAAGAGCAGCAAGCATTCTTTTCTTTCTTTCTTTCTTTTTTTTTTTTTTTTTTTTTGATTTATTTATTATGTATATACAGTGTTCTGCCTGCAGGCCAGGAGAGGGCACCAGATCTTATTACAGATGGTTGGGAGCCACCATGTGGTTGCTAAGAATTGAACTCAGCCAGTGCTCTTACCCGCTGAGCCATCTCTCCAGCCCTCAGCAAGCATTCTTAATCACAGAGCCATCCATTTTTCCAGCCCCCTCTCCCACCCAAGAGTTCTTAAGGGAACTGAAGTTTAACAAAATGAAGCTTACAAAGCCAGTCCTGGACCAAGGTGGGAGGGGTTTAGGGGTGTTTGTTTGTTTGTTTTGTGGGGGAAGGGGTTCAAGACAGGGTTTCTCTGTGTAGCTTTGCGCCTATCCTGGAACTAGCTTTGTAGACCAGGCTGGCCTCAAACTCACAGAGATCCGCCTGCCTCTGCGCCCCAAGTGCTGGGATTAAAGGCGTGCGCCACCACCGCCCGGCTTGTTTTGTTTTTAATCTCAGCAAAAATTTAAATGTAAGTCAAAGAGCCCCATTCCCTGCTTACATCGCTCACACAGCTTGCCGGTGCCGTTAAGAAGAATCCCTTCTCCTTTCCATGCTCAGCAAGTCCACGCAGCTCTAACCTCAGCCCCTCCTGCTCTATCACCCACTCCACACGGCTGGTGGCCTCCTTTCGGAGCTTCAGCACACACGCTCCCTCTCTTCTCAAGGCCCTTGCCCTCACTACACTGCTGCTTTGCGCACTTTTCCTCCAAATCTCCACGGGGCAGCTTCTCATTTTTCAGGTCAAATGCCACCTCCTCAGAGAGGCCTTTCCCCACTGACGCGGCACCAGTGGCCTCCCTCCTTTCGCCCCAATTTATTTTCTTCACAGCAATTAAAATTATTTATTCCTCACCTTAATCATCGGCTGTCTTGTAGCTAGAACAGAAGTTCCTTCAGGGAAGAAACCTTGTTTGTTCACCATGGTATTCCCAGGGCTTGGTGCTTAATAAGTGTTCAATAAATGTTTGATAAGTGAGTGGTCTCTGTAAAGCTTCAGGGGCCTCAAGAGTGACATGACGATGGGGGGTGAGGAACAGGGTATGGAGAGAACTCAGCCAATGGGCCGTGGAGTACGCTGCAACCTGATCACTGGGCAGCCAGGCTGTCCGTCTGTCCATGAGGTAGCCTGGCCTCCCTTGCTGAATGGAGAATGTATGTGGACACACTTCCTCAGACACTGCATGAAGTCAGGTGGAAGGGATGAAGTTACCCGGTGTTGCTGATTCAGAGATGAGGGCCCTTGGGCCCCCCCCCGGGGTCCCCCAGCCTTCCCAGATTTGGGGTGAGGTTCAGGGAAGCTCTGGGGCCGGCTTTGCTTGCCCTCAGGGTTGCAGCAGGCATCGCCCGGAGGAGGGGGAGGCTGCTGCTCAAGGAACCTGATCTTTTGCATTTGCTGACATTCTTAGATTTGGCATTTACAACCTCAGGGTTCTATTCCAAGGAGGCCTTTTGCATTTGATGTAAATATTATGGTGATGAGAGGTGACACAGAGAAACCCTGTAGGAAATCGAAATCCACCCCCACCAGGCTGGGAGCCTCTCCCGCTGCCTCTTTGGGTTGGTATGCAGTGGACTGATTCCTCCCAGGTCTTGGGTTAATCCAGAAGAGCCCCCTCCACCCATAGGCAGCAGGGTCTGGGAGCTGCACATTAGTTATTTTTCCAATTTGTAGAACCACATTCATCCATCAATGTGGGAAGCAATCAGGGTAAGTCCTGAGCCAAATGGTGCTACAGCTATTCTTTGGTGGTGGGGGTGGGGGGCGTTGATTTCCAGAGGAAGGGTGGGAAGTCTTTAGCTGGACAGGAATGGAAATGAAGGCTCCTAGCCCTGGGGTGTTCCCTAAATCCGTGGCTGTCCCATCTACTTCTTTAGTGACTACCAGTTCAAATTGTCTCCCAGCAGTTTACCTTGGATTTACATGTCTATGCTAAGTATTGGGGCCCTCTGGCAACTGCAGTGTTTCTTAGGGACAGTTCTCTTCCGAAACAACCTGGAAGATGATGCGCGGGCACACACACACACACACACACACACACACACACACACACACACACACACACGCTTTCAGCAGGGTGCTGGGACTGGAGGTAGTCTAAGGATCCAGAAAAGCAGCAGGGCCTTTACATGGATAGTTCTTTGATACGCTGTGTGTCCAGGGACAATTTGCTGATCTCTCTGAGTTCTGGTCTCCATAACCTTCAAATGGGGAAGATATTGTCATGGGATTATCTGAGGATCCCACAGAGTTATGTGCCCAGCCCTTGGCATGAGTGACTGATCAGAAAGTGGAGCAGGGGGCTGGAGAGATGGCTCAGAGGTTAAGAGCACCGACTGCTCTTCCAGAGGTCCTGAGTTCAATTCCCAGCAACCACATGGTGGCTCACAACCATCTGTAATGAGATCTGGTGCCCTCTTCTGGCCTGCAGTCATATATGCTGTATACATAATAAATAAATAAATCTTTAAAAAAAAAAAAAAAGAAAGTGGAGCAGTAATGATCAGACACAGAAGGCTTGGCAGGGACAGTGTGGACCTGGGGCCAGCCACTGCTCTGGAAGCCCATCATTTACAGCTCCTCTTCCTGCTGTGCCATGCATGAGCCCTGCCTGAACACTGGCGAGACACCCAGTTGATAAACTGGTTGTTGGATCAGTAAGCTAGAACAGCCACGCTGCTATTCTACAGCCAGAGACAGACAGGAGTTCAAATCCCAGTCAGGTATCAGACAGCCGACTTTTCAAAATTTTGATTTCTTCATTTCGAAGAAGGAAGTGAATTTTACAAAGATTAAATGGGAAAGTGCTTGGCATTTATCAGGCCCTTTCTGAACATCACTGTAAAAGGTTTTATGTTGTAATGGGAAAGACCTAGGATTTGAGATCGAGAGATCTAGGTTAAATCTACCTCCATCTCTTATTTACTGTGCTATCTTTAGCCAATTATTGCACCTCTAGTTCCCAATCTATAGAAAAAACCATGTCAAGTGGAACACCAAGACTCACACTTGTCATCCCAGCACTTAGCAGGTCAAGGCAGGGAGGGTGCAAAGAGTTTCAGGCTTGCCTGGGCGACAGGGTGAGACTTGGTCTCAAAAACAACCAACCAACCAAAAAAAACAAAAAAAAAAAAAAAAAAAACCTACAGAAAGAAAGCATGCAGGAGTGTAATATCATCCAGTTAAAGTTGCCATGAAGAAAACTGAGAGTTTGCCATGAAGAAGATGTTTAATGCCTATATAATGAGTAACAACAGTGAAAAGATTTAGGGTGTGGATTGAGAGAACTTGGTTAGATTGCCTGGGTTTGTTATTTGCTCTGTGCATGACTTGCGACAAGTGACTTCACCTCTGTGAACCTTGAGTTCTCTTGCTGTAAAATAGGATAATACGTATCCCCAGCATTATTGTAGAATTAAATTAGACGGTTAATTTTTTTTTTTTTTTTTTTTTTTTTTTTTTTTTGGTTTTTCGAGACAGGGTTTCTCTGTGTAGCTTTGCGCCTTTCCTGGAACTCGCTTTGGAGACCAGGCTGGCCTCGAACTCACAGAGATCCGCCTGGCTCTGCCTCCCAAGTGCTGGGATTAAAGGCGTGCGCCACCACCGCCCGGCCTTAGACGGTTAATATTAAAACACCTCATAAACCGTAGGACGTTGTGTTCACTCTAGTTTAACATTACTTGGAAGAGAGCTCTGGGCAAGGAGCTGTGAGGGCTTCAAAGTTCTGTTCTAGATGACCTATGTATGTTAGCCATGGGGAGAGAAGGCACAGAGCGAAGGGCCGAGCTCCATGGAGATCTCCCTCCATTCACTAATTACATGCATGTTTACAGGGTGTCTTCCAAACTCAAGGTATGGAAGATCTACTAGAGATTTTAGGTTAGGTCTGGCAGAGGAGCTAGAAGGCCAAAATCAGGCTTCTAGATTTACCGTCCTGTGGGTAAAGGTCTCTGAGGGCTCATATGCTTGTGAGTTACCTTGTGGTGACTTCTGGCCAGCTGAGTCGCTTCGCTCAGTCACCTCTGAGGCCAGGGGATGCAGGGACAATTGTGAGACCATTTGAGTCAGCTATTTAGTGGGTGGCCTCTCCCCACAGGTCAGAGGCCTATCTGGCTACCACAGCTGGCGGTCACAAAGGACCTGCCGAGAATCCAATCTAATGGTGTTGCAAAGGCTGAAGCCACTCTTCTGGGAAGGGGAGGGTGAGTCGCAAGGTGATTTTGCTGCTGTCACAATTTCCCTTCAGACACAACCTGTCTCGAGGGCCAAAATAGCAGTTTTGCAGGCAGGAAAGTATTGTGACATCATCCCCAGATTCAGCCAGATTCATCAACCCCTCTCCAGCCAGTCAGTCTCCCTTGTCCCTTGGAAACATGTGCCAAGGTCCTAAGGGACAAACTTGGTAGCCCAAAGGTCCCATCTAGCTTCTTGGCCCCAATTCTGGGCTCTGTCTAAGAACAAGACATTGCTACCCCCAGCTGATAGCCACTAGGAGAAGAAGAAAGTGTTTGTGCCTGTGGCTGTAGTTTCAGCCATTCCCCTGCCCCAGGGCTGAGTGTAAGACCTGCAGGGTGAGGAGCATACAGACTGGGCTAGAGATGCAAGGATGATACCTGGCCTGGAGGCTGTTCTGAGCGGTGAGAGGTCAATCTGCAGTTGCTGGGAGAGGGAAGGGAGGGAGGAAAGGAAGGGTAGAAAGAGAGCAGAGGTGTGTGTGTGTGTGTGTGTGTGTGTGTGTGTGTGTGTGTTACAGCAGAAGAAGGCAGGCAGGAATGGAGACTCCACAGCCTCCACTGATTAGAAGGGTTTTGAAATTGATAAATTACTTTGTATCAGGGCAAAATGATTTGACCAGATTTCAAATGTCTTAGAGAAGGGAAGCTTCTCTTGGGCCAAGTATTGATTGCATTTAATAGAGCTGGGACTTTCTCACTTAAAAACAACAAAATAAACATCTGGGAGAAGGCACTAATCTCCTCTCTCTCCCTCTCTCCCTCTCCCTTCCTCCTTCTCTCTCCCTTTCTTCTTAGCTCTTTCTCCCTCCTTCTCCTTCTTAAGAACAGCAAAGAATACAGAGACCCGCCCCAGCCTGGGGCACTGCTGATGTTGAGCTGAGGAGCTCCTTTGGGGCAGATTGATGGTGGGGGTTTGGGAGAAGAGGGGGCCTTGGGTTGGTCCCATTCTTCACAGATCGATTTTTGCCAAACAGGGACTGTCAGGGCCTTTGATAAATCACTAGTCCAAGTGATGAATGCCCTGAGGCAGGATGGGGTGGGATGGGGGTAGGATGCTAGTCTGGGAGACAGCTCAGGGAAGGACAGGGGCAAGGAGAAAGGGCTGGTGGGCAGAGGGAACTGGGGAAAGTTAGCCCTAGATAACTTGACGAGATACACAGATACCTTGTCTCTCAACAGGATTTGACCACAATCATTGGCTCAACGGCACTTCAAAATCCATTTTCTGCCTGTCTCTCGTCTGTCTCTTGCTGTCTGTCTCAATGTCTGCCTCTTTATCTGGCTTCCAAATGAACTCTGATGGTTTCCTCCCAGGAGAGGGTTTGCTTGGACTTCCTGGAAAATGGAGAAAATCTTAGGGAAGTGGGAAGCGAGGAGGGGTTTGGCAGTGACAAGTGAGCAGGGCAAGGCAGGGCAGGATGGTGCAGGGTGCCCCGCCCCCCCCCCCCCCCAATGTGCAGGGTGCAGCTACAGCAAGGACCAGTAGTAGCAGAGAGGAAGGGGGCTGTGGGAATGCACTTAGGAGTTTGTAGGACAGCTCTTACCAGGAACAACCAGGCTTCCAAGGAATCATGTCCTCTCTAAAGGGAAAGCCATGTGTGTGGTTCTCATATCCTTCCAATGGGAGGGGAGATTGGCCTCAGAGGGGCTCCCTGAAAAACAGAAGAAAGTGTAGAGCGGGTGAAAGACCATCCCAGAGGCACAGGAATGAGCTGTCTTTATAACAAAGCCTGCTTGGAGATGGCTCAGATCATAGATTATTGATGTGAATCCTCCCTCACTGGCTTGGACACTTTGCTCACTCAACTTCCTTATTTAAAAAAATGGGAAAATAGAATCATGATCCAGTATGACACATTATCTTAATTAGTACAAACCTGGGCCTGGCCCAGAGCAGGCACTCATTGGTGAACATTAGCTAGGGAACCCTGCTGTTCTTCCTGGTGTAACAGCAAGACAGATTCTGAAGTCACAGAAACACAAAACATGTCAGCCGCTGTGGGAACTCCTAGCTCTGCCAGAGGGTGACGAACTGTACTGATTTTCCATCTACAGGCCCATTTATGTCTGTCCCCACAGCCAGCGCTGGTGCATCGTGGGCCTAGGGCTCTATTAACTTCTCTGTAGTAGAAGCAGCTGGAACATAGCCCACCAAATATCCACAGGGCCCCCAGCTGGACTCCTGAGCCTTGAGCTAGGTGCCTCTTCACTGGCGGGACCCAAGACTCTGTCCATGGTGCTAACCCTCACCCCACGCCTTGCCTCAACCCTGCACTCCTGACCACCAACTCCAACATCTCTGAAGACCTCCTCATCTCGGGGATGAATTCTGAGCTCATGTTCTGGACCGCTGCCAGGAAGAAGGACGCAGCGTTAGTTGAAAGCATCACACAAAAGGCCGCAGGTAATTATGTCTCTTTTAAGCTGCTAACAGGATTGGCCGTTTGATAAATGGGAGGATTTGAGGCTGTTTTGTCACTGACAAGCTGTTGTAAGATCATATTGGAAGCTGAAGACAGTTTATCTTCATGTGTGTGGTGGAGAGAGGGGAATTCTCCGTGGATTTTACACCCTCTTCAAATTAATGTGATTTCCTAGGCTGGTCCTGGGCACAGAGTGAGTGATCTTTATGACTTACCCCCTGATTAGATTACCTGGCTCAGCGGCCACCTCCAGCCCCTCAGAGTGCCCTGGAGCTCACCAGGCCCCTCCCCCACTTCATCCCTCCAGCTCTCCAGTACCTCAGGCTTCCCCCTGACCTCCCTGCTCTCCTCTGCTAGCCTTACTCACAGGCCCATCTGCTAAGCAAGCCCACAGCTCAATTACTGCTGGCTGGCCCGAGAGCAAGAGAGATCTGGTTTCTTCAGCTCCTCTGGAGGGAGCAGAGAAGAGGCAGGCGATGGGAGTGGGAGGGGGGGGACACCAGCAAAGGAGAGTAGAAATGAGACAAAGAGAGTATTGAAACAGAAAAGCAAGCTGAGCCAGAGACAAGAGTAGACAAAAACAGTAGCAAAGGAGAGGAATGGTGTATTTGTTTTATTTCCAGAACCTTCCCTAGAACCACAGGTACCAAGACAGCCTCCTTTCCTTTCCTGAAGCCTGAGTTAAACAGGTCCCTAGGCATTTCCTACCAGATGATGGCTTTATTGTCTTCACGACACATACCACCTTTACCCTGCTTAGTTATTCTTCTCTGTGGTATGTAAGACTCATGTGAGAGCAGAGGTCACTGTTGTTCTTCCCAGTACTCGAGCACACAGTAGGCTCTTGGTCAGTGTTTATGGAATGTGTGGTGGGGCGGGGATTTGGAGAGGGATGGCCAAGGGGCAAGGCTGGCTTGGCATCCTGGCACACATTTGAAGGCAAATGGAAGGCTGCCTGGTTTGGGGCTGGGTCCTTAAGGTCACCACCACTGGCTAGATTTAAAGAGACAATTTCCAGTGAGGGAATGCTTCAGGAACTCTTTAGGAAAATGAGGCGTCCTCCAGAACAAAGCTTCTCGAGATGTGACCTATGCAACACTTGTTGTCTCATTTCTCTACACATTTCACGGAATTCTAAAGTGGTTTTGTGGGAAACGGGTCAGCCGGAGGCTCCTGGCTCCTGCCCGAGTGGCGTAAAGTGCGCGCGTGCGCGTGCGCGTGTGCGTGCGTGCGTGTGTGTGTGTGTGTGTGTGTGTGTGTTGGAGGGTAGTGGTTAGAATCCTTGCAATGGAATGGGGGGGGGGGCTAATGCCAATTATGTCTACTCCAGTTCATTTTACAAACTTGAAGCAGCTTACAGGTAAGCATTCAGGGATAAAGCTAGCAGAGCGGGCAGTTCTTCCACCTGCCCAAGACTTCTGAGGAAGAGGAGGACAGCAACAGCTGTGAGAATGAGAAGGAGCCCTTCCTGCTCCAGGCCAACTGAGGCTCTGCAGCTGGTCAGCCATGCATCATTTCCCCGGCAAGCTGTGCACCCACCCCATACCCCAGGCTAGGTTCCCTGCTTTTTCAGGGGCCTCCCCCCAATTGTCAGCAATCTGTGTTCCATTACTGATTGGATAGTATGCCAGCATATCAGCCTACACACACACACACACACACACACACACACACACACACACACACGTTACAACACAACCCCATCATAATATCAGACATGGTCAGGGTCCTCATTAGACACTCGGCATATAGTAATAGGTGCTCAAGAATGAAGAACAGTTTGCCTGAGTCATGGTACAGCCCGAATATATCCATTCTATGTTTCAGCCTAGACTGAGAAATGTTGGAATTTGTGGGGGTGATATGGAAGCCAAGGTCCAGTAGGTTGAAAAAAATAGCTTACCCATCCCATTACTGCCCAAGAAAACCAAGGCATGACAGAGCTACCACCACCTCCCACCCAACCTACACTCCAGCAGCCCTGCCTTACATAATACCTCAAATAATGCATGCTCTGGGTGCCTTAGAAGCATCCATTGCTCTGTACACGATACTCCTTTGCATCTTAAATCACTCCTACCCTTCAGTCTTCATGGACCTTTCTGCATCTCTGGCTCTCTCTGTGCTGTTGGCATACTGAGCACTCGCTTACCAAAGAGATATCTGGTATCTGTCTTCTTCTCTGGACTGAGAGCCTCATGGTAGGAGTGTCTGAGTCTTGCCCATTGAGGGGAACTCTGGTACTACTACCCACAGGGCAGGGCATATTGCAGGCTTTGAGATGGGAAGACTAAGGCTTAGGCAAGTCCATTTGTTTTGAGGAGTGGTTCCTGAACACCCATTCTCAAGGCCCTGAGGGTGGGTTGGAAGGCTGAAAGGTCATCTCTCTCCCCTCAGAGAGGCTATAAACTTAGAGTGACACGCATGGGTGTCAAGTGGTTGTATAGATTCATGTACAGGTGCAAATGTGTCAAGTGCTGTAAGGAAGGGGCTGACTGGGCCAGGAATACACAAGAGTACAGGGCAAGCAAGCTGCGGTATCAGAGCTTCCTCAGAAGAGAATAGCCTTAAGGATGATATTACTCTGAGGTCGGAAAGTCTATATGGAGCCAAGGTAGAAGAAAAAGTGTTCTGGAGAGAGGTAACACCATGTGCAAAGGCCCTGCATCAGGACAGGACATGGCCTCTAGAAGGAAACAAAAGACCAATATGGCTGACGTGTGTGGGGTCTTTGAGGGTGCCTGGAAGCAGACAGAGGCCAGACCACCATGCAGAGCCTTGTCAACTGAACCCAAGTGACTTGCTGGTGGTGTCCACACCAGCAAGCCACGGATTTAAACCCCGAAGAGTTCAAACAGCACAGGGCGTGGGCATCCTCAGCAGTGATAAGATAGAATTGCATTTTGAAAAGGTCATTATGGCTTCTGTGGAAGAAGGAGGAAGGGACTTGAGGAGAGACAAACAGGTCAATCGGCTGTGCGTTGTAGCCATTCAGACTTGGTCCCTCAAGGTGAAGGCAGAGATGGAGAGTAGTGAACACTGTGTGAGAGAATGTTTTCAGTTGACACCATGGATGGATCGAGGACAAAACCAGAAAAAGCATCTATCCTTAACCTTTGCCCTTTCTTATAGTCATTGGCTTCCTTGTCAAGCAGGCAGGTCACCAAGGAGAAAGGGCTTCCAGGCCTCCTCCAGACGCAGATGTACAACTTGCTTTCAAGGGGTGGCGGCGAGGGGCTGGGGTTCCCTACACTATGTTCTTCCATGCACCTTTTAGGCTGAACCCAGGCAGGGGGTGGATTTCTTTCATCCCTGCAGGTGCATTGCGTGCTGGGAAATGTAGTTCTGGAGCAGGAAACGGGGCCCGCTCCCGGCTGTGGGTCTGGCAGGCAGCCTGGTTGCCATGGCAGCAGCTGGGCTGGAGCCACCGAACCATTTCATCCACAGCTCTGCTGGTTCTGAGAGCTCCCAGCAAGAAAGCTTGGGCTCCAGGGAGGAGGGAGGGAAGAGAGGGAAGGAAGAAGGGAGAGGGAAGGAAGAAGAGGGAGGGAGGATCTTTCGGGCCTTCCCCAGAGGCCTAGGCTAAGCTTACCACTCCATGGGGCTTGTGGATTGAGCAGAGAGAAGTCGCCAGCACAGGCTCACAGAAGGAATCAGAACCGTTGGAGCTGTTCGCCGTCACTCAGACCCTGTAGGTTCAGCTTTGTGAATGCAGAAGCCCTTGGCCGGACCAGAGAATGGAGGAAGCAGCCCTCCTCCCCAAGGGGAACACAGCCTGAGTGGAAAGGCAAGAGGGTGCAAAAGCATTACTTAGGAAGGAAAAGCCCTGCCCATCTTTTCTCCAAAGGGTCCCTAGGACACATTCCCTTCTCTCTGCCTGTTGGCCACAGTTCTAGTTCATTCTCTCTCCCCGGAGAAGGCTTTCTGAAACACAAATCTGGCCCTGCCACCCCTCCCCCCCCCACACACACACCCCTGCTTAAAATTCTTCAATGGCTCCCCTTTTGCCCACGGCTGGACTAGGTCCAGGCACTCTAGTACGATCATTCATGGCCTTTCTGATTCTGGCCTGCAGCTTGCTGTCCAGCGATCCTCCTGCCTCCCCATCTGCTACACCATATCAAGGTTTTCTCCTTCGCCCCTGTCTCTGCACATGCCCCTCTCTGCATGATGTGTCCTTCCCTCCACCTCCTACCTCAAAGCCCACCAAACCTAGCCAAAACAGCCCCTCCCAGTTCAGTTTTCCGAACTCTTCCAGCAGCGGAAGAATGAATGGCCCGCTGCTCTGAGCTCCCAGAGCACTTTGTACTTCTCTCTAAAGCACTTATCACCCATGTTGTGAGGATTGTCTCCGTAGCTGCCTCTTCCCTCTCTCTCCTCTGCATTGGAGCCATCCCCCCACCCCACCCAGGGTCCCCAGAGCCCAGCACAGTATCTGGCACAGGGTAGGCCCTCAATAAATGGTGAATAGGATTGAATTTAGAAAAGGAAGGCTTTTTGGACCTTCGCCACACTCCCACTCTGCATTCCTGGACCTCTCCTCTACCAGCTTCTCCCTTGGGTGCCTGAGTACTTGAGCATGGAGTACTGAGCAGTGTACCACAGCTGACTAGTGGACCTTGTCGAGAGAGTGGCGTGTTCTACTCTGGGCAGGGGTGACTTAGGCACCTACACATGGAGGCTGTAAGCCTCTTCATGTCACTAGGAGTCTGCACCAAGTCACACCCAGGTCTCCAGAGACAAGGCGTCTGTATCTTCAATGGAGCCGTGATTTATGAACCCAGCTCCAGGATCCGAGAAAGCCAATTAGGCTTCTGTATTTCTCCACCTGGAGGCAGAATAATTCCAGGAAAGTGCTTCCTTCTGGGCAGAGGCTCCATCTGCCTGGGCCTCAGCCTGCATCTTGCCCATCCAGCCTTCTATGCTGCTCAGTTGCTCTAAGCTTCCAGGGCCAGGAAGGAACCATCTCGGGAAGGATGGCTCCAATTCTACCATGGAACATCTGGGAGGCCCTTTCTAGGTTGCCATCCTTCCTAAACCTTATTTCCTCATTATAACAAGAGGGGTTTGTTTGTTTGTTTTTAAGTCCTTAGTTGTCTAGATCATTCATTCATTCATTTACATATGAATCCACTTGTTCATTGATATATTCTCTTAAAAAAAGATTCATTAGGTACCTTCTTGTGTGGGAGCCGCATTAATCACAAAGAAGTGATTCAGAAGCATGGTCTCTACTCTCAGGAGGCTTTCAGTCTGAGGCTTACTTACCTTCAAGTGCTTTGAGGAGGAAGTATAGCCTGTTACCTGCAGTGACTGGCCTGATTTGAGATGTCAACGATATTTTTTTTGCTCATTGCACCTGTGGTATGGCAGGTGTGGGAGAGGAAGGTAGAAATGATTCAGGTGTTTCCCTTCCAGACAAAGTGGAGAGAGCCCCACCCCACCCCACCCTGGTGTTAGGTTCTACATCAGTGATAGGGCCAGGAGAGAGGGGGGTTGTGAACTGCTGCAGCAGGGGCCCAGGCTCTCTAGGACCTTGGGGAAGGTTCTCTAAGACAGGGAGACTGGTCCTTTTCACCCTGTAGGAGAGACTGTGGATGGGTGGAGCTTTGGCAAGACTGACTTAGCTAGAGCCAGAAACAGCCTTCTCTGGTTAAAGGTAGGGATAATGAATTAAGGTGTCCCTATTGGGAGAAGGGAGGGTTTCAGCTTCACAACCTGCAGGAAGTGGGCGTTCCCAGAGCTCTTGGAGGCTGTGATGTCACCTCTGCAGTGCAGGGATGAGTCCCCTAAGGGGTGGAGAGCAGGAGCTGGTGCAGAAGCTGGCTCAGGTTCTTCTCTTACTGCCCCTTCTACAAGCTGGGCCCATAGCCTGAATGATGTCCTCAAATCCTGTTGATCCCGTGATCCCAGAAGGCTAGGGCTTGGGGGAAGATAAGTCAGTCTAGGGACTAGAGTTTGGGGGAGACCGGAGATGCTAGGGAGCAGAGAATGAGACTAGATGGTGGAGATCTTTGATGCTTTTGGATTGAATGGCAACCTTGCTCTGTAAGTTTTGAGTCTCAGTTCCCCTAGGTATAAAATCTGCTAAATGCTGGACGTTTCTGGGGAAATCCCCAGGGCTCTTTGGTTTCTTTCTTCTGCAGTTGGAACGGGGTGACATACGAGAAGTTACAGAGAAATGCTGGCTCCACCCTCTGCCAAGGGACTCAAATCAGCATTTGTTGACATTTCTCAAGACACCCTCAGTGCTGGTGACATTTCAGAGACCTGCTCTCTGACAGGGCTGGAGGATGTGAACCTGACCCTGAAGCCTTTGCTCCAGACCCAGACCCACTGGAACAAACGTTGCCTTCCCTCCAGCACCTCCGACCAGTGCTGAAACTACCCAGGGGGCTCTGGTGCCAACTTGAAAATGCTGACGAGGCAAGACTGGAGCAGGTGTGGGCTCAGTCCTTCCCTCACCAAGCTTCAACATCTGCCTCTGTGGGATGGAAGTCACCGTCCTTGCTTCCCTCAGAATAGAGTTGTAAGCGCATAATGGTGAGAAAAAGGGAAGTGTTACGTCTGCTGTGTACTGTTGTCCAAGTGTGAAGTTCAGGTGGAGGTATTAGGGGCGGGGTAGGGGTACAGTGTGGAGGATCAGCAGGTGCACAGGCTGGTGGAACCAATGACTCTGCCCATTTCATACGTTGGAGAGGGTCACTTGGTGGGTAGAGGTCAGCACAGGGAACCAGGGGGATTCTTGGATGCTCTTGTTGAAGCTAACAGAGAGCAACAGAGCTGTGGACCATATCAGAACCAGCCCAGTCTAAGGCCGGACCACCCTGAACTCGCCTGATCTTGGGAACTAAGGAGGGTTGGGTCTAGTTAGTCCCTGGCTAGGGAAAGCAGCCTGTATCAGGAGGGAGAGCCAACCTCGCCAGTTCCCCTCCTTCATCTCAGGCTGGTTAGGAAGCCGATTTGAAAGGTCGGGTCAGAGCGATGACAAAGTGTCTAGATTTCAGAGTCAGCAGAGCTAATCCTGGCTCTACTGCTCGCTAGCTGTGTGGCTTTAGGCAAGTACTTCACCTTTCAGAACACTGTCTTGCTCAGTTCTGAAGAAAGGTAGTGATGCGGCGTACCTTGCAGGCTTGTGAGGAGAATTGGAGAGGATGATGCTTCAAATTTCTTAGCATGGACTGCCATAGAACACACGCTGATCTGCTTTGCCGGCCTCTACTGTTAGTGGCATCCGCTCTCAACCGGGAAGCAGGTTGGACCTCACCAAAAACCTGCCTCACCTCAGACGGGCTTCATCCATAAAGAGAGAAGACCATCTCCCTGGCAGGTGCTTGTGCATTTGAATATGTGCCAAGTACCGGATTTCTACTCAGATTCCAAATGTGCTGATTATGTGAGATAGATTTCCCACCTGAGTCTCAGGTTTTGCCTCTTTAAATATGCAGAGCAGGGGGCTGGGGTTAGGGTTTGGAGGTTATGAGTGCTTGCTACTCTTTCAGAGGACCCAAATTTGGTTCCCAGCACCCATGTCAGGTGACTCACAACTGCCTGTAACTCCAGCTCCAGGGGATTTGATGCCCTCTTTTGGCCTCTGCTGTCACCTGCCCACACATGTATACACACACATAGGCAGACACACATATAAAAAACAACGAGTCTTAAATAAATATGAGAGTAACCAGTCAAGGATTATGGATTGGTGTTAATAGCCATTAAGTGAATTGCTGGTCAAGCAAACAAGTGTGTTTGGTGCCAAAGTAACACACAAACATTATTTCCTAGGGGGTGAGGATGAAATTATAGCCACCATGATGTCTGCCTAAGCGTTTCTAATGGTGAGAGAGTGAGGTGCCTGCCTCCTGCTGCCGTCCAACAGGACATATCAGCACTGCCTCATACGTGTTCCAAAGGTTTGCTTTGAACTGCTTCAGCCTTTAGATCAATTTTCTAGTTTCCAGGAAATGCTAGGAGAGTGTCATAAGCCAAACAACAGTACAAGGTAATAACTAGATAGCTGGGAGAAGGGATGTGTAGAGGAAGGCCGATCTGGATGTTCTAATGGATAAATAGCCCAGAAAAATGGACTGCATCACGCTAAGCAATGCTCTGCCCAGGATGATCAGGTACTGTCCTCCCACTGGACTCTGGCAAACCAACTAGAAAAGACTGGGAGGGTGGTGAGTTGGAGAAATTGGTATATGGGCTATGTACTAGAAGAGAAGACATTTACTGAAATGAAAAGGTGGAAATTTCTGGACACACACCCCTTGATCACCTTTCCCCCCTCATTTTATGTGTATGGGTGTTTTGCCTGCCTGTGTATCTATCTATGCACTACATTTATGCAGTGCCAGTGGGGACCAGAAGAGGGCGCAAAATCCCCTGGAACTGGAGTTAGAGTCAGTTGTGAGCCTCGATATGGGGGCTGGGAATTGAACCAGGATCCTCTGGAAGAGCAGCCAGTGGTCTTAACTGTTAAGTCATCTCTCCAACCCCTTGATCACATTTTGGCTAAATAAACAAACTAACAAACAAAAAAAAGACTTCTAAGTTTAAAAAAAAATCGAGAACACCTGGGCATGGTGATGCACACCTGCAACCCCAGCACTTTGAAGGCAGAGGCAGGAGGATTGCCACAAGTTTGAGGCCAGCCTGGTCTACAGAGTGGGTGCCAGACTAGCCACTGCTACATGGTAAGACCTTATTTCAAAAGCAAAAGAGAGCGGTAGTGGGGAGGTGGTGTTAATGGTTAATAGGTATAGGGCCGGGTTTTTATTTTTTGTATTTTTGCTGTTTGTATTCATCCCATTTCCAGAATGTGCATGCATTGCTTCTATAATAAAATGCTATTTAATAAGCAAAATGGAAACAGTAACAGCGTGTACCTGCTGGTGCTGTCACGGTGCAATGAGGTAATGATGAGAAACACAGGCTTTGGCACAAGTGCATGCTGGGCAGTTTGGTGCCACTAAGGTATGTGCTGTTCTACCCCCAATCAGCATTACCTTGAGCTGGCTTATGGGGGGTGCTACCCTGACCCCAAGTCCTGGCACATAGCAGGCCTCTGCTGATATTTGTTGAACAAATCACTTCCTTTGGTACAGCTTTTGTTGGAAGGAAGCATGCCTCAGAGCTGCCTTCCTCTCCCTGAGCCCCCAGGGTGTGACTCTCAGCCAGGTCCTTACAATCAGCAGGAGGCAACCTTTCGCTGGTAACAGAGAGCCCCGGTGGTCTGGGTCAAAGGAAACAACCTTGTCCCCACTCCCACGGGCTATACTCTCTGTTTACTTTCTTTTTCATTTCGGAAACAGAATCTGAGTGTAGCTCAGGCTAGTCTGGAACTCACGATTGTCCAGTCTTAGTCTCCCCGGTGTTGGGATTATAAACATAATTTCCCCATTCCCAACAGCTTTTGACTTTGACTTCCTTGTCCACCCTAAAAACTCTTGGCCAGAGGTTGAGAGTGAAGCTCCTCTTTGAATACAGACTGGGATTAAGGCTAACCCTACCCTAGCAGCCGGTTCTTGGTCTGGTCTGAGCCAGCTTCCCAGATAAAGCCTCAAAATTAAGATCGGGCTGCAGCAGGATTATCTTATGGCGGAGGACTGCCCTGAATTGAAAGCCAGACTTTAGACAGGGAAGCTCGGGTCCCAAGCTTGCTCTGGACCTAACGCTGAAGCCGAGGCGGAGTGTGATCCGGCTTGAGGCCGAGGTTGCACCTGCCAAAGGATACTGAGCTGTTGCTTCGCAGAGGAGCCAAGGAGGAGGCCGTGGGCAAGCGGACCGCGGGGCGGAGCTCGGGCAGCCATGCTGCACCAGAGATGGAGAGACGCCTTGGGAGGCTCCAGCCTGCCCCGCGCTGAGGGCTGAACCCGCTTAGGGTGGAGGGGAGCAGCGTCTGCCCGCGCCGACTCAGAGCGATCAGGCACGCAGGGGCGGGGAAGGGCTTTGCGGGCAGCCGAGGAGCACTTGCCTCCAAGGGATCCCCCGCTCTGGAGAGGAGCCTCCGGGCCCAGAGTCTGTGGTTTGTGCCCTATTACCCCAGCTCCACCCACCAGGAGCCCGCCGGGCTCTTTGCTCATTAGGCCGACATCCCTCTTTAATAAAAAATACATGAATAAATAAATAATAACAGCCATAACCGAGCGGGAAACCGCTTTCCACTCTTCTTTCTGTTCTGTTTCCTCCTGTCCTTCCTTCCAGCCGCGGTCGGTCCGGGGGCTCTCGGTGGAGTCGACTGTAAATCCTTTGCTCCCCACAGAGTGGCAGGCATTCCTGAAGACTGCGGCTGGGACCACTGGGCTGGCTGGCTGCTCTTGTGCGGCCCTAAGCCAGAGGAGGGGCTCTTCTGGTTGTTTGTTGTTGTTTTGGTTTGGTTTGGTTTGGTTTGGTTTGGGCACAGTCAAGTCTTTAAGGGACAAGACTCGAACAGGCAGGGACAGGCATAGACTGGAGCAGTATGGGAGGAACTAGAAAGCGGTATCTAGAGAGAAGCAGGAGCAACACCGAGCTGGTCTTAGGAAGAGGAAGGGACTGGGAGGGAAGATTATCTTTCTTAGGCAGAACGACCAAAATCTCACTTTTCACATCGCTCCCTTTCTCTCCGTGCCTCCGGGTCTTACACGCTTTCTGTCTGTTGTGTGAGACTTCCTTTCCGGGAGACCCTCTCTTTCCTGATCTCTGCCCCTCGAAGTTAGTAGAGACCTTTGCGGGCCTACCCACAGTTCAGGACCATGGAGAGTGTCCTGCGAGGCACGTGCCCTCTCCCGAAGGACGCTCAGTTCAAATATAGGACTGCCATAGAGGGTAAGACACAGGCTGGGTGGAAGCAGGGTAGAGGTGGTGGTCAGAGGGACGAGTAGCGTGGAGGGGTGGGGCGCCATTCCAGCCCGATCCTACTGGGATATGCTTTCTAAACTGGCATTTAGAAATGTTGCTGCTCTGGATCAAAGGCTGCGCGCGCACGTGTATACACACACACACACACACACACACACACACACACACACACACACACCCTGAATCACTAGATTTTGGAGGATTGGGAAGCAAAAAAAAAAAAAAAAAAAAAAACTACCCATCCTGGGATATGTAGTTCAGGAGTGCAGCCCTAAACATAACCAGCAAATCCTGGCACAGAGAACGCTATGACCCGTGGGTAGGTGCTGGGGAGGCTGGGGAGGCAATGTTGTGCACACAATCCCAAATCTGAGGGTGCGCTCAAGAGTAGAAAGAGTAGGCAACAGGGACCATGCTCTCTTAGGCCTGTTCATTCTGTTCATCTGGCAGCTGCAGGCTGGAAGTGGGGGGTCAGCCAGGGCCTTCCCTGGCCCTAGCTCAGAACTAATGGGACCCAGGAGTTTCCTCTTCCCCCAGCAGCTCCCTCTGGACAAAACCAGGAGCCAGATTTCGGGAGCAGTCCAGATGTTCAGGGAAAATACAGGGAAGTGGAACAGATGGGGCCTGGGATTCCAGTGGGGGCAGGGGAGGAGGGCGGCAGCTGGAGGCTGTGCTGGGGCATGTGTTAGAGACAAGGTTGGCACAGTGTGCCAGGGCATGCCCTACAGTGTGAGCCCAGGATACAGGACTTGGTTAAAGATCAGGTGGAGTCAGGTGGCCCTGAGAACCTTCCCTGGACCAGCTACTAAGATCTGAGCTGGCTCTCATGCCAGGGCCCAACGGGTGTACCCTGTGTCAGAAGTGTGACAGAATACAAGTGAACGTGACAGACCCTGCCCCTGCACCTGCATAGAGGAGCGTAGTCTGTCTGTCTATCATTCAGGACTTGGATTTGAGCGCATCTGCCACTCAGCAGCCAGAGTGGCCGCTCCTTCTAGGCTCAGGGTAGAAAGTTTTACCCAGAGAAGGCCCAAGCTTTCTACCCCAGGAGACAACTCATCTCCCCATGCAGGGCCTTGATCCATGCCCATGCCATCCCTGTCCTGTGGTTCTGAGGAGGCTGTGGAGCAGGAGTATGGACACCTACCACAAGACTCTAGAACTCTTACCATCCTGCCTCCAGCATGGACTTGAGGTCCAGAGGCTTTTCCTCCCCACCCCCATTTTACTTCACCCAGCTGTTTTCAATTCCCTGAGGTCACACCGGTGTGAGAGAAGAGCCATGAGCTCCCTGGGAAGATGAGCAAACTCGGGTGCATAGGAACAAACTTGCATGGGAGGCACAGTTCTGCCGCAAGGCGAGATTGAAAGCTGTCTCCAAGGCTTTGGGACAATGTGGTCATCAGCAAGTCATGTAGCCCCGAGCATGACTCTCCCCACCCACTGAATGAGGAGGTCTGAACAGGTTGATCTCCAAGACCTCTTTATGCTCCACTCGGCTCTGGGAAATGGAATGGTGGGGGTCAGCTACGTTGATGGTACCCCAGCTGAGGACAAGGCAGTGATCAATCTCCCTCCCTTTCTAGGCTCTCAGGAGGTCAGGAGATTTGGCAGGGTGGGTCTTCAACAGGCTTCAGTCAGGGTGGGGTTGGAGGACCATCTTGGGGAGGCCAGATTCTGGATGAATGGGCTGCCTGCTCAAGAAGGAGAGCAGGGGAGGCGTTGGGGTAGAGAGCAGAGCTAACTGGGCAGGCCAGCAGCAGACAGGCAGAGCCAGGCAAACAGAGCCAGGCGAGCAGAAAGCTCTAGGGCTTTACAAATGGATTTTGCTAAAACGGAAATTTCCACCCATCCCTGAAATGGAGCCTCGTAGCAGTATGGCCAGCTCTGGTGGGGGGCTGCAGCAAGTGGGGACCCAGGCAGGGACAGACACCTCAAGCCAAAACCCATCTCTCCCCGGCACCCTCCTTCCTCCTCTCCTCCCCTGATGACAGGGGTCATCGGGTTCCTTAGGGACCTGAAGCATCCTCACACCTTCTGAAACCTTTCTCACCTTCCCCCCTAACCTCTGTGTGGCTCACGCTCCCCGAGTCCACATCCTCCTCCTCCTCCTCCTCCTCCTCTTCAGGCTGCCTCTACCCCAAACAGCCCTCACGCCTCCCTGCCTCCCCCAAGACTGACCTGACCAACTTCCCACCTCTACCTTTTCACCCTCTTACCCCCCTCTGCTCACCCTCCCCCCTCGCACACCCTCTTACACTCTCCCCTCAGCTCACCCCCAACCCCGGTCACACTGCATTCTCCTCACTCCACTTTTTGGAACCCTCTGATGCTCCCAACACTCTCTCACCCTCCATTTCCCTCCTCCTGCCACTCCATATGACACTGCCTTCCTAGCTTGAACCCCCCTCTCCTACACACTTGCTTAGAACTATTAATAGTCCTTGGGGGTTGCTTTCGGAGACAAGGTCTTGGCTCTGTAGCCCAGGCTGGCCTTGAACTTGGAATCTTCCTACCTCGGACTCCTGAGTGCTGGGATTATGGGGGGGGGGTTGTGCTCCCACACCCACACACCTGCCCCCCACCATCAAGTCCTTAGAGCTAAGTAGCTCCTGGGAAGGAACTGGGTTCTCGTATCAGACTCCTAACTCGACCCTGACTGTTGGATGAACCAGGAAATTGTCTGGTGCCTCTGAGATCATTTCCTTACCTGTACAGTGGAGTTGACAACTAGCCGCCCCTGCAGTGGGGCTGTTGCGCAGACTTCTTGGTGGAACGCTTGCCTAGCATGCAGGAGCCTTAATCATGTCCATTTGCTGTTTTGTAATTAATTGATCCTTAGGGGGAGGGGAAGGATGGAGCGGATGGTGCAAGCCCAGAGGGCCAGAGTAAAGGAAAACAGTGAACAACTCCTGGGAAATGCGGATAGCCCAGACTTAAAGAGACATATGCAGATACTGGCCGTGGGCTATCACAGAGAATGAAGACACCCTTTCCTTCCCAGGCCAGTGCCCAACACTGACTTCCATGGACACC